CCCGAACCACCTGATTCAACTCCAGCACAACCAGATCTCTTCGCAAGAGGCGATGTTTTCTGCTTGCGCTACGAGAATGTCTTGGCAACTCCGACTGCATGAATAGATTGCTTATAAGTCGTGGACGCAGTACAGTCGCAATTCAGGGAAAGCCGCCACCAGATCACTGTAGAAGTCCTCCGGGCTCAAGCGCATGCTTGCAGCTGATCTTACTGCTCTACGTTGGCCGACTCTCCGCAACAGCAACGCTAACTTCGTGACATTTCGTGACGGTTCTCGTGGGCGCCTTCGTTGTGTAAGTCGGACTTCGAATCTGCTCGGCAGCTCGGCCTGAAGAATGCTCGTGCCACCCCAGTGCACTTGCTACAATTATGTGCTTAAGATGTGCTTAAGCCTTAAAGACGGCTCTGAATCTAAGTCTCACACGGGCTCGCATCCAGTCAGTTGTCTTCCCGTCCATGACCTATGTCTGCTGTTCCCAAGGCGAAGACCATCTCTGATTGTCAGCCACCCTTGCGAAACGGCTCCCTGCCCTTTGATCAGGGATCCAAGTGCCCAGCCCGCATGATCAGCAGCTCATCCTTGCCACCTAAGCTCATCTGCAATGCCCAAGGTTGCTGGTGCACACGGAGACATACATGGATGTTAGATAATCTCTCTCGCACGGACGTAGCTCGACAGTAGGCTTCGCGCTTACCGGTAGAGGGTCAGGAGGGACCACCTGTCGGCGGACCAAAACAAGTCACGCAGCCTCACTCAGCTACCCGAGATTGACCGGCCTGCTTCTTGCTCTTATCAAGATGCATTGCAAATGATTCATCTTGCGCATGTTCGTCGTAATGGCTGGGCCTGCAGCCACTGAACAGTAAACGCGGAAGCATTGAGAACTGAGCCACTGAGCGCGGTACCTTTTGAGACCTTTACGAGATTCATACCTTACGCTGCATCAAAAGTGGACAAAATCCGGAGTGCCGAAGTTTTCTGTTTGCGGATCTAGAAAGCATTGCCTTGCGTACATTGCAGTCCGGGAGCTCTATCTCGGCAGCATTTGTCCATCCCCACCTGGCAGGCATGTGAGTACCAAAGCCGTTAAATTAAATTCTGAGTCAAGTCAGTAGACGGTCATTAAATGAAGCATGGCAAGTTTGGCAGCGCCAACAGCTGCATGGGTTTAATGCTGTAAGGGTCCCAGAAGAAAGGTCTCTAACAAGGAGCATGCCTAGCCGCAGTATCCGAAAGCAGGAACTGACGCAAACAGGCGCCAGCTAAGGGTGACAAATAAACAGTCTATTGAATCTATTGTTCAACTGTTGCTCGGCCCAGCACAAGGACAAATGATGTACACATGCCAGAATGAGAGAGAACTAGTACCTGTGAGAGCCCCGAAACCAAAGCTTGTGCATTGAACCTTTTGCGGCAGCTAGCAGCTGGAAGAACTGCTTCGAGCTGCACTTTAAAGCCCACGTCTAATGAACGTGCAGTCGCCCTTGATGCTTTCTGCACCGTCACACGCAGACAAGTCTTTCTGGCACATCTGCCACAGGGAGCATCGAAGATCATCGAACCACAGGTTAAGCACGCGCTGCAGCTGCGAAGCGGCTGCGAGCTCTGTGCGAACCACAGTCCCAGCAGATGGTCGCTCATAAAATCTTGCTCCGGTACGAGTTGTAAATGCGAGTGACGAACTTGCCACATGGCCTTTGGGCAATCAAATGCTCAGGGTTAGGTCAGCGAGGTCTGGTCAATGAAAGCATGTTGGAAGAGAAGATCTTGAGAAACTCTTGAGAAACTTCTTCGTGCCCAGCCTGCGTGCAAGATCCTGCTCGAACACCTGCGGGAAGCAATGAGGTTTCTGTTCCGTTGACACAGCGTCGCTTGGATACACATCAGTGAGAGGGCGCCTGAACCTCGGGGGGCAGAGTTCTGGCTGTGCCACGGTTGCCGGCTTCTGCAAAAGAGCGAAAGCGCCCACGGGCCCAAAGGCAAGGGTCCTCGGGCTGAGGGTCGTGACTCCCCCTTGTTTTCTACGAATTCAATAACTTGATATTGGGACGATCTGATGATTCTGATGCTTTGTAAACTTATCAGTTCCCGCAGCAGCCCATTTCCATTCTCAAGCGTGCAACATCTTGGACTCCGGAGGCAATTTGGGAACAAGGTGGCTGCTTGCAGTATGACTGCCCAAAGCCCTCCAAGCCCTCTATCTAAAGCATTCCAAGACCACCGCAAGGCCCAAAGCGACGACACTTGCTGTGTGCAGCATGACAGGGAGAATGCGCACGGGACCGAGGCTCGAGCGCCGTCTGCGGCACCACGAAATGCATTCCGTTGACTCCGTAGACCGGAGTCTTGAAGCCAACCCATTGGCCCATCCCACAGCCCAAAGTCCCGGAGCACAGGAACATACACGTCTGCCGTGTTGGCGACACGGAGCAACGCAAGCCTCAAAACGTGAACGCACGCTGGAGGTGGGAGCAACATTTCGAGCACGGATCGTGCACGGGGGGTCGTGCACGGGGCATCGTGCACGGGATAACGTTGGAACCCCATAGTGGTGGCACACTGTTTGGGAAAGTACATTCCCTGCACAACTTGTGGTTGAGTGGACCCTGTGCTCCTGAAAGAGGAAGCCATTGGCCATAAGGGGGGCCACGAGAGAAGCAAAGGTGATGTCGACATAGGTTAACTGGTCCCCCACGATGTATCCCTTACCATCGGGACCAACTGCCGCATCAACGCGCGTCAAGGCCTCGTCTATGATGGCTTTGCGCTCATCTCGCAGAGACGAACGATCCAGCTTGAAGGCCGAGCGCATGAAGGCTTTGACCGGCGCAGTGCAGGCTTTCATCAGGCCTGACCGACTTCAAACCATTCGGACCAGAGCATTGGATCCAGCGCATAACGGTGTATGAGCTTCGACTGTAAGGTGCTGACATCGCTGTACGAGGGGGCATTTCTCGTCGTACACGCCCCAGCAAACCAAGGCGAACCTTCGCATTTTCACATCATCTCACTTCATGCCCAAAATTACAGCTCCGACCTCATCAGGCCAAGCAGCTCACTTGAGAATCCCTTGCCAAGCAGGTAGTAGTATGCCCAGCCCTGGATTGCATGGCCCAGTTTGTTCCTTAGCGACGCGGCGACGGCGTGTCCACTGACAAAATGATGCAAATGTCACGGGGAGGCATCCCAATGCCCAGCCCGAGCAAGCATGAGCAAGCAAAATGACACCAAAGCGATATGTCTGTCGCATAAACTAATTACCAACACGATCCAGCAAGCATGGTCTCCGCAATGGAGGAAGGCCTATGCACATGAGCAAAGTCAGCAAAGTGTCAAGACGAGCTCCCATTCAAGGGTTGCTTCCGTCTGCTTGAGGAATGCCTCTGCCGCCTTGTTGCTTGCGGAGTACAAGCCATATAGGTATCGCAAGATTTCGTCGGAATTGCCGATGTGGCTGCAGCTTTGCCTGGCAAAGTTGACGCAAGCTGAAAGCATCGGAAACCAGAACGGCGATGACGAGAACCAAACGACTGATTTGGAAACAGCTACTTCAGGGCACGGCTGAGTAGAAACCAGTGGATGCTCTTCTTGGCCACTACCCCCCGTCCCCGCCCGCATCCTACCCTTCTGTTACGTGCCGGCTTCTGATGCTTGCTTTCTGCTGCAATTAACTCACTGTTTCTGATTTGTAGTTGGTTTCTGCCTGGGAATTACTGACTTGCAGCTTCTGATTCCCCCCATACCTGAGATCACAAATGAAATCGCAGCATGACACGGTCCTGTCGTTCAGTTGTGGCACCGACTGACCGAAGAGAAGGATGTTCAAAATGCCGCAGTATGTGGTCTCTTCATAGGGGAGACCTTGTCCAAACAGGAAGCACCGCAGCCAGCTAAGTTGAAGCGATCGCTTCAGAAGAGGTTCGAGTAACTCAACCTTTTGAGCCTTCAATCATTGAACGCAAGAGCCGAGACTTCAGGCTAAGTTGCAGCAAACGAAAACTAGCAACCACCAGGTTGCAAGGTTCCACCTGTCATACCCGCTCATCCCATCTCCCAGCACATCCCATTCCCTATAGATGAGGAGCCAAGCAGGTCCAAGCAGAAGCGAACCTTCTCACCAAAGTGGTTCACGGGCATTGCGATCAGCTCAAAGCGTTTGCCGCCGTATCTCAGATGGCGACATTGGGCAACAAGAAGGGAGGAAGTAGACGGATGTGGAAGGTTCTGGACCCATGCTCACCATACGAGGAACATCGATCCAAAGTCTGCTGTTTGAGGCACTGGACACTTAGTCTGAAGATTGTCCCCAGACATTCACTGTTAGGCAAACATATCGATAAGCAAACCATGCCAAGACCAATCCGGGCGCCGCCGAGGGAGCATATTGCCTTTCAGTGTAGGAGGGACACCCACATAGGCACGAATGGCCAGCCCCGCCACTATAAGTAGGCAAAGCACAGCTCCCAAAGAAATTTGCGCAGCTGACACCACCAGGCACAGGCAGGCAAGCACGCTGAACAGGCTGAACTCAAAGGCCATGTGCGGCAATCGCCCCGGTTCCGACAATGCTTGAAGTGCCCGGCTTGAGCTAGATTGACAAGTGCTGGCTGCCAATACGACGCTCCTAACACTTATTGCGCCTGGATCCTACTTGCTTCCGCTGATTGAGCCCACGCCGCGGTGCCAAGGACTCGGTCTCAGCATGGGCCACGACGGCCATGATGTCAACGAGGCACCGAAACAGGGGCCACACCTAGTGAGAATCATGTCGTACTCGCCAGTTGCTAACTGCTCCTCGCTATGATGTGACTGAACCACTCGACCACTGGAAGGGAGCATGTCACAAAAACGCCTTTCGGCATAATCTGTCCTGCCGGCAGAATGTGAAATCCTCCGCAGACGGCAACCCGATGTACTGCCAACGTTGGTCCTGTCATTGCCGCTTGCTTTTGGCCACGTGGCAACAGCATGCTAGCATCCACAGCCGACGATCTTGCAAATTGGGGTCCTGTGGATTCAGCACCTCACAGCGAACCTCCATGATGGTGTACACAGTTTTCAGGCCGGGGAAACTGACCGAGAACTCCACCTGCAAGAGTGCTCCCTGCTGTCCCCCCTCTTGTGCCCTAGCGACGCTCGCCAAAAAACAACCTCTGAGGCGAGGCCAGGCCTCTTCTCGGGTCTCAGAATTGGTCACGCTCAGCATGTTCTTCTGCTGCTGCTCCGGGATGCCGAGACGCAGAAAGAGTGCCTCCGCCCGGCCCCACCCCCTTGCATCAGACAATCGGACTTTGCCAGACTTAAGCCACTTCAACTCTTGTGAAGCGCGCACCCACAGGTGCAAGCACAAACGCACACACCCGCACAACTTTTATTCGTCAGCAACACACCCAGATTGCCTCAGCCACAGCATCTGACCACTGCTGGACGGCCCGCATTCGCATCGACAAGGTTCTGATGTTGCGAAGGTGCTGTACACGCCCTGGCGCTGTGGAGTGAGAGCTCATACTGCGATGTCGGCGATCTAGATTTGAGGGAAAGATCAAGGAAAGATCTCAACGAGAATGGAGGCACAAGGTGGCTCTCCAAGCAGGCAAGGCCTTGTTGCTGCTTGGTCTTGAGAATCAACACATGCCTTGGCTTTGATACTTGTAGGTAAGGATTTCAAATTTTCTAAATTGTTGTGCACCGTTCAACGAAGAAAAAGGGCACAACTGCCTGCCAAGCCACTTCTGGCTGAACAAGTTCGCCTCAAGCCAGACTTTCACAACCTTCACCTTGCGCACAAGTTGTCCATCAACAACCTGTACGGTCGACAAGGACTTCTCGTAGACCTGCACCAGGTCTCGAAACAAGCTTGCCGAAAACTTCCCCTACTTGCCTCCGTGAACATGACCGAAGCAAACTCGCATGCCTCCGAGTAGAGCTCCACAAAGCTCTGCCATGTGAACTCAGCAACATCAATTCCTGGCGGCGGGGATGCTCTCTACATGGACTGCATCAAGCCGTTGCAGACATGGTCCAGTGCAGAACTGCCGGCTGAATAGAGATTCGTCTCGTTATAAAACATGATCAGGACACCGTGTTGGGAAAGAAGCTGCATAAGCTCATCTTCCTTGTTGTTCTCGACCTGGCTTGTGGAAGGTTTCAAATGTTTCAAGCTGCTGTGTTTTCAGCTCTCACGCTGGAACAACTCAGAACCAGGAGCCCCGCAGGTGCCCATGTCCACCTTAGATTCGTCAAGCTCCACTGTATGCACGCTTGCCGGACGCAAAGCTGGGGTGCCTTGTCTTGCCATCTTCGGTGCTAAAGTCCTGCATGGCCATTCCATGAATGGGTTGCATGTCTGCCATTTCGAGAAGCTCTTGACTCTTGACCTACTATCGTGCGACGAGACCCCCAGACGGGTGCAGCTAGTCACTAGTCGTTTGCATCAGTGCGCATGGCAAAGGTGGCTGCGACCGCCTCGCCAGCCGGAAGACCCATGCTCGATAGCTCCCTTCGCGTCTTGTCCTGTGCCAGTGACTTGCGCTGCTGAAGCATACCGCCGTCTGCGCCCTCGTGCCTTGATGGTCACGACAACATTGTGGGTCTTGTAAGTGGTCGTCATGTCTGGCACTGTCTCAGATTCCGCGCTGTACTCCTCATACTTGTACGCCTCAGAAAGGGAAGTTTTCAAGAAGTGCAGGTTTCACAGGCAGGGGTGTAGGGGGTAGAAGGAAGTTGTGTAGTTCGGGCTAAATGCCCCAGGGTTCCTGCATCTGTGCTCCTCTGCACTACATCTGCACGTCTACAGTATGCAGGGACCACTGACACTCTAGGACTAGGAGCCCACGATTAAAGCGAACTTGGGCCTCGACTTATAGTAACATCTGTACGTGCCTCTGTGTTGGCCCACAAAGATATCCTAGTACTTAGCAACCATAGTCAAATAGCCAACGCCGGGTGCTTTGCTCCTGGCATGGAGGTACATGCGTTGACATAGAGTGATGTGTTGTGCTGCGCTTCTTGTTGCTTGGTGGGTTCGGACTAGGGGCTGAATCTGCTTGCTGATTCTCAAAGCCGGAATCGAGCTAAAGTGTTTTCGCTAGCAGCCAGCGGCGAGCTCGGCAACTTCTAGCTGCTAGATTGCCCGGGGTTCACCAGGGTCTCACGACTGCTCCTCCTTCTGCGCCAGGAGCTTATCTGCCTGCACGCTGCAGAAACACGAACAGTGCTCAAAAAACATCGGCTATGCAATGAGAGAGAGATGGCACGAAGTGGCACAATTGCAGGCTGCAAGCACAGACTTGGCAAGAGGCGCCCTCGGATGCACTCAGAGGCATGGCACGGCCTTCTCCAGCAGTTCCGCTAATCCTTCTTTGGAGCCCATCTCCGCCAGCTCCAAGGGAATTTGGTGGAAGTTCTCCAGCCGCCCCCGTCGATCGGCTTCGCTCTGAACCACTCGAAACTCGGGGGATGCGGGGGATGCCTGGGCCATCTCTGAAAGGTCTTCCCAGTCGAAGAGGCATGCATCTGTTGTCGGACCCCATGGAGAGAAGTCCATCAGCCAAACGCGTCGCCTGGGAGGTATGTCTACATACACGTCAAAGACGTACCGTTTCAAGCCGAAGCGGCCGCGCAACTTTTGCTCAAAGAATTCTCGGATTGCAGCCTGGATGGCTTCGGCCTCTTCTGTGTTCAGCAGGTGTTCAAAAAAGCCGCCCGTCTGCCGCTGAGAAATTGCCAAGAGTTCAGCATCTCGAACGAAGGCCCTGAACTCGCTAGACTCATGGAGCGAATGCCAGCGGCGCAGAACCAAGGTGAAAGCATCAGGTCGTCTCCGCGAGGAGGCAGTGTGGTCAAAAGCATGGCACAAGTCGTGCGACACGAAGTCCGAGGCCTTTAGCAACGTGAAAACTTCTGTTGGCGAACAGCACTTCAAGCTGCCATGAATCCAGTGTGCATCTTTTGGGGCGCTCCAGTTAAGCTTCGGAATGACTTGTCCATTCAGCCGCGAGATGGCAGCCCGAACAGCACTCTCCAACTCCGGGAAATCAAAGACTCCCTCAGGATCTCGAGCTTCATCATCAGAATCGCCACCAGACCCCCAGCTGCCATCACTCGCTTCGTCGGAATCTTTCGGCTTGGGCAGCGGCACGTGAATCCCATCTGCCAAGAGGTACTTCACGAAGTTTTCTGACAAGGCGATGATCTCGCTCTTGAAGGTCACGTCTTTGAACCTTATTCCACTTCCTACGGCTCCAAACGAAATACGGCATGCCGCTGTACAAAAGCCTGTCTAGAGCCAAGGCACGTCGGAAACCAGCATGCGAATTGACAAGCCAGCACTTCCTCCTCAATCATGTCCCCTTGAGTCCCTTGAGAGTTCCCATCCTCCTGCTCTCCAGGCTGGTTGAGGTCGATTGCCATGGCTAGGGTATTCTACTGTGCGAGCGAATATGGTATACAGTGAATCTAGTGTTTTCCACAGCACCTGCAATTCGCAGCAAGCACTACCAGGTATGATCATGAATTGTCGACGGTGCTCATGCTGCAAGGCGTCAGCTGGCCGAGGCATTTCGAAAAAGCTGCAGTTTGCAATCCAGCACCAAGGATGGTGGGGTGCCATTTCGACCGGTTGGACTTGTGATGCTCCCTGGTCACGCTTGAAAACCTTCTCAGCGTGCTATAAGAGGACAGCCCTTGCTACCGAGGCACATCTTTTGCGACGTGAAAAAGGCTGTCTTGGGCCTCAGCAGATTACTTCAACCATCATCCTTACGGCAGCTGCTCTCTCTCCAGAAACTGAGGCTACGGCAGCTGGCGATATTGAAAACTTTTGCTCTAAACACCGCTCAAGAGCCTGTCAAGAACACTGTGGAGCTGGCCAGTACTTGTGGAAGTACTTGCATGAAATTGTGCCATGTTGGCGACTGCCAAGTGAACCTGCTTCCAGCTTCCTTGGTCCTTGAGCCTCATGACCTGACGCACAAGATCAACAACAGTCTCGACAGGACCTGAGCACATGTGACGACTCTGCGCCCTACCATGGCCAACAGTTGATTCCGCTCGCGCTCTGTGCCCCAGTCGGTCGTCCTCAGCACATGCCGCTCTCTACAGCTCCAGGACAGACTTTAGGTACGTCATGTCGTAACCTTGACCTACAGACTCCGTGAAGTGCTGGGGCTGGCACTCCGTCTTGATCCGGAGCTCCTGCAAGCGGCCGTCGTCGTTGCGAAAACCTTAGCTTCTCCTTCCTGTGCCGAATCCCAAGCACATGATGAACCATGATGACCCATTGTCTTGACATGGCAAGAGGCGCAAGTGAACCCTAACGAGTTCGACATAGCGTTGCAAGACATTGCCCCGGAGCTGCAGGAAGCACCTCGAGAGCAACAAAAGGACAGTGGCAGTCGCGGCGTCCCTAACATAGTCCAGCCCACCACTTGCAAACTGCTGGGGTCCCAGCTTTTCTTCGATTACCACTGACTCGAAAAACTTTTGCAATGGCTTCATGTTCCCCTGTTGGCACAGCTCCGCATCGTAGTGGAACAACCCGGGCTAACAAGAGGATTGAAAGGCTTCACTCGAAAAACTGCTCGAAGACTGCGCGTGCCTTGCCAAATTTGGACAAGTCCACATGATATTGTTGCAACAGGTCCTTGAATTCTTCATAGGACCTCAGCTAACAGGGTCTGACAGCCATGTGGGGTTTGCAGCTTGCCGCTCGATGCATTCAAGGCGCATTCTGTTTGCTTGGTCCTGAGCATGTGCCAAGGTCGTCAGCTTAATCTGCTTCGCATCACGTTCCGTTTTTATACTGCGGGTTTGAGCTCTCACGCCAGTTCAGTATGAGTCACACAGTATGAGACTGTTATGGTTAGTTGACTGTTTGTTTCCTTTCAGACGCCTAGCCCAGCTCGCAAAAGGCCAGACTCGACACATCTGGACGCTCAAGAACCTTATCCTCGGCGACATCCGAAAGCCAGATCTTGTTCAGCAGAATTTCAGCACGTGATTGCCACATTCAACCGACACCCAGACGCCCAAAGCACGTCCCTACTCTGGGGCTTAGGGTCTGTCCCGATTGGCTTGGCAGCATTGGCCAACCCTGATGCTTGGACCTTGTGTGTGTTCAGGGCTTGACGGCTTACAGCCAATCCCCTCCCTTACAAAGACTGCGTCTGCCTCTCCCTTCGACCGGCCATGGCATTCATAGTGTAAAGATGCAGTGTAAAGCGTAAAACAAGAATCCAAGCAAGCAATGTCCTTGGCTTGGCTTTCGTCGACGAGGAAAGGGATGCCTTTCCTTCGCAGCAGACTGGCAGAGACGTTGCTCTAAAGGTACTGCTGGTTGGGATGTAACTGGCGTCGGTACAGTTGGGTCAGTTTATCCGGGGAGTATCGCAGAGAAAAACGCGTGAAAATCAGAGGAGAGTTGCAAGAGCTGCAAGACCCAGATCGAAACGAAGGCTGCGCGTCGGCTAGCCCGAGATGAGGCCGTGACGCTTGCACACCCTTTGCATCGTTTGGGTCGGTCACCTGGCAGCGTCACCTCTGCCCTCTGGTTCAATGATATAGTGGACTATTCTGTATGCACAGGGCTGCGCAGTTGCACACCTCCGTAAAGGCATCCAAGTAGAACCTGTTCTGACCTTCAGCCGCTCTCTGTGAGGCTGGCACGACTAAAGCATGTGGCACAGAAAGGATGGCCGTCCACCCTTCCCAAACCAAGAGGGTGTATGGCGTGCCTGTGGTTTTCCTTACATTTACACCTCCTCACTTCAGCCGCTTCACACGGCACTTGGTAGTTGGACATCAGCCGCTCATTAGCTCATTAGCAGCGTCTGGAAAGACTCAGCTGGGTCTCCGGCTGCCCAAAATCAAGGGAATAAATCTCAGAGCGCTGAGCTGCTGCTTGGTTTCGGCGGACAGATGGACCATGCCCTCTTGCCTTGCTCTTTGCACAAGGCAGTACAAAGCAATACAAAGCAAGCTTCCCAACCGCCGAACTGTGCCTCGAGGCGTCAGCCAGCTGCCGAGCGCCTGCGGGAGAGGAAAATCTTTGCCAGGGCCCCAGGCTTCGTTTGACCCTCTGTCGCAGTTACGTGGGACGGCAGCTACAAAGTTCCGGCTGCAGGGCTCGGGACTCTTCTTGTTGAATGTTTCAGGTTTCAGGCACGTCGATATCATCTGCGACTGTGGGTTAGTCGATAAGCCCAGGCCTGCGCAAACGGGCCCGAAAAAGGCGCGGCTGTCGTTGCTATTCTGCACTGACCTTGAATATTGGCTGCCATCTGCAAGTGCTAGATCTCTTAGACTGAACAGTGTGGCTTATGTTCTCAGGTTGCAGCAAAAGCCCATTGACACTGTACAGTATCCCGAAGTCGACCTCAGGACACAGAAGAGTTCCTTGGACAGCGCTCAACCAGCTGTCCTCTCAACGTATCACCGGGCAGAGCCATGGCTAAGAGCTGGACTCCCACTAGGAGACCTATCGATGGCGACTGTGATAGGGCCCACCTGAATCAGACGTCGACACAGGCGGCTTGAGCGACCGGGGAGCCCAGACACCTAGCTGCCTAGGGTCGTCGAAACTTGCTTTGCTCCACATTGAGTGCTCGCTTTGCACCCGTGCAGGATTTTGCGGAGATGTGGCGGCTGTGATGCAGGACGTGGTCGGCTTACGACTTTGCAAGCGGCATGCCTGCACAGCAACTGGCCCATGCGGGTCATTGCGTCGGGAGCGTTCCTCAGCATTGATGTCGATTGCCATAGGCACGGATACAGTGTCTCGGTAGCCTTCACATGTCATGCTGCAATGGCGGGCAGCTGAGGCTTCTGCATGCTCGCACCTTCTACACCGTTTCCCATAATAAGGCCTCGGCTGCAGCATCAAAACAAATCTCCCCATCTCCTCAACCGGCATGGGTAGCCAAGGTGCCGCTGGTCGCATCATCCACCAACATGTGGGCTTCAAAATAGGCGAGGTGGCTCGCAATCTAAGCAGACACAGGAGAACCTGTATTCGCAGTGTCTCACAACTTAGCAGCTTTGACAGCCATGGATGCCCGACAGCTCGGAAGCCGGCTTGCTCGTGCAGTTTCTGCAACTGATCCACTTTGATAGTGAACTTGGCACAGGAAAAAACTGCTATTCAGGATCCATGCCGCGGACTTACGTGATTGCACCTTGCAGGAACCACAGAGAACTCCAGGACAAACTCTGTATATGCAGCAAAGTTGCAGCACTGTGAACACCAAGCCTTGATTTGCCGGACAGTGCGTGGCTGCTGCCGCACAACTTATATACAATGTATATACCCCCGAAAAGTCTACCTGCTCAGTGCATGTAAACTCAATTTGTGCTGACAGGCGGCCTCCAAGCGAGGCAGCACGTTGGCGAGCCAACAGCTTCTGCCTACAAAGACATCACCATTGCGTCGCTGATGTGGACTTAGCATGACTCATATGACTCCTCCAGGCCTGCACTGACAAGTCATATTCATTCGAGCGGCCGCAGACCATGCCTGCAGCACATACGCTGCGCTTGCAGGAAACGCGGTGATTGAGATCCTGGGGTGCTGGCTTTGCATGTCGCTTCCTCCCAAGCCCAAACAGCACTTGGGACCGCCGAACCTGAGGTAATATCAGAATACAGAATCCTCAGAAGCCAGCACTTCTTGCACGGATTGGCAAGCTGCGGCAAGCTTCAGGATGTCTCAGGGGTCGACAATCCAGAACCCTGTGAGTTGCCCATCGCAGCTCCTTGCCGAAAAGCACGTTGAGGGGATCCCCCCCCGCAGTAAACAGGAAATGGGCACGCAGATGATTGCAGCTGAGGGGCTGTGCGTGCAAAGCGACGCCCTACTATTGCAACATACTGGCTACGTAGGCTACCCTGGCTGGGGCGGGCTGGTTGTTTGCACAAGCGTAAGTCGGGTTGAGTCAAGGTCTCGTTAGTCTGACTGATGGTTGCTGGAGTCTGCTAGAGAAAGTAGACCACTTGCCGCAACCAGCTGGGAGCATGGCCACTATCGATTTAATGTAAGACTCTAGAAACAGCATAACCTAAACACATGAAGGCCAACAGGTTTTGAGCCTGGGCTGAGGTATGCGCACGGTCACAGAAGCCAGAATGCGAAAAGCACAATGCTCACAATTTCCATGTGTGACAGTGACACGGACAGTAGCTGTGGCTATGCCGGCTCCCTTGAGCTTCTTTTCCTCACGGTCACCTGTGCTGGCAGAATTGTGCATCCGACCTGGGCTGAGCATCGGGCCATCGGGCTGAGCATGTACAATCACCAGCTGCGCCCCGCTTGGTCTCTTCCGTGATCCCGGCTTCTGCGCAACAACGGCCCAGCAGCAGATCGCCTCAGCAACAGAGGAGAGGGTGCGAAGCAGAATGCACTGTGACCTACGAACAATCGCCGAGTTAGCAGACAACGCGCTCTAAGGCTCAGCAAAGCAGGCTTCACCTGACAATCTTCAACTGAGGAAATGAGAAGATCCACAAAGCAACGCAAGACGCTGAAGACGCTGAATGCCTCCGAGCACCTGGTGGAACGTCTGACCTCGGAGGGCACATCGCTTTACGTGTCGGAATGCTTGGTCTGAAGAATCGAAGCCCCTGGCGGCTCCACCAAACGAACGCTCGCCCGACCTGATAGCTACACGGGCGCGTCTGAGTGCTGATATCTTTCCTTCTCGACTTTCGCCTAGTCACTAGGCGGCATGGTTCGAGTGCGCATGGCTGTGGCATGTTCGTCGAGACAAAATTCCCGAATGGCAAGCTAGCTGTCGTTTTGCTTCCGCGAAGCTGCTATAGCAGGGCTGCAAATTGCACTTATACTACAAGCTTGGATGGCCCTGCAGGCTGCAACCTTTTTCTCACAGACCACTTTGATTTTTGGCTCTCTCTCCTGAGTCTTGACTAAGGCAGAGACATCGGGTTTCGGAGCACATCAACAAATAAGAAGGAGATGATTGCAAGGGAGACCAAAGAGGAAGACGCCACAAGGCCAAGGCAGGTAGCAAACGGCGAGCAACAGCCGCAACTCGACGTGCGACAGCGGCGAACAAGGATCAAGAGCGGAACGCTCACAAGATACGCGCACACAAGAAGTGAACTGCGAGGCAACCGATACGAGGTAAAAACAACTTCAGCCACAAACCGTTCACATGATGTAACATTTCCTTCCAACGAAACACAACCGTGACCCAGGAGACCCGAAGAGACACAGGTTGTAAGCTTCGGACTTTGATGGGAAACGACATGGCAACCTCACGATCCTGCTACATCATGTCTCCCAGGCAATGGCTTGTTGCTGATGAAAATAAAAATTCAGACCTTGCCTTGGTCTGCAGGGTCAGCGTAGCAGAAGCAATGTCAGGTCCTGACCTTGAGACGCATGACTCTGCACGACCCCTTCAAGCTGCTTCTTAAAGCCAAGCAAGCATTCAATGGCACAGGCAGCAGGGAGCGGGACTCAGGAACATCCACCGGCACAAATAGACGAAAAGAGACCTCACGGCGGTTGTCTGGAAGGAGGCCACCGTTGTCCACCTCGGCAAGTGACCACACGAAGACGGAGGGGACAGGGCTAGCAGCGACCGCCTCTGGGTCACTTCTTTGCGCTTTTGAGATTCGCAGCTCAGTGACAACCTGGCCATACGTTGACATGGCGACATGACACGGGAAGCGCAACAGAAAGCGTCACAAAAGAGTGATTGGCGATCGTTCCCCTCGGCTCCATTTCTCAGGGCCTGCAGCTCCATCAAGCGGAAAGCCCGCAGCACTTCTGCAGCGAGAGCGCTGCAGAGGGCCCACACGATGCCTCCCACAGCCGCACGTCACATGTGAAGATCAAAATCTCGCGCGAATCCCTGCCAAGATTTGTCAAGTTGCCAAAAGGATGCTGCTCTTCCTTGTCGCAGCCAGTCACCGACAACTCAGTACCTGACGAAGGATGATTGAAGCACTGGCTTCATGAGCCATCAATACAAAGTTTCCACCGCCGAGCTCTGCGCGTTCTTGGAGACTTGCCTACATAGATCCGAACACGACATCGAACATGCAACTTCAATACCGCGCCACGGCAAGCAATGTTTTTTCGTCGATTGCCGCGTGCGCTCCGCAGCATCGCTCGGAGAATCAGACCGGAAGCGAGGGGACTGTGAACCCCATGTCCGACACATATTTGGACAACGTGGTCAACGTGCCGAGCGCTTCGGCATTGATGCCCAGCTCTTCGCCAACATCTGAGGTCTGCCAATATGCAGCTCCCCCAAGTAGCGCGAGGATCAGGCCCCAGTTTGTATTTTCCAAGTTGCCCAAGGGAAAAGCCTTCAAACTCTTCCGCAGGAGAAGCGCAACCTTGGCCACAGCAAGACATACCCGCCGAAATCCCAGCCGGTCCTCTACGAAAGCATGCCCTTGTGCAATCAAACGTTTCGACATGTCTTGACATCTGGAGCGCACCTTCTTTGACGACGACTTAGATGCGCTCTTCGACTGACGCCGGCATCACATTACGATCCATGTCGAGCAGCAGTCGTGCGATCTTTGACTACAGAGGACATTCTTTCGCTGGTGTCCAAATACGTTGTAACTTGTTGTGGCCTGATTCCTGCCAGTCTGTAGCCCATGCGGTCATAGACGCCTCTGGCCTGTTGCCGAGCAAGAACGTGGCCAGGCATTATGATCAGCTTTGGATTGCAAAAAAAAAGACATCCCTGATCCTTGCCTGGAAATTTGTCGCTTCTACCAGCAAGACCAACTCGTCATAGCCCCAGTCGAGCACCACTTCTTCCAGCTTTTGAACGAGCTTTCGGCCGATACCTTTCCCCCGGCATTCCTTACTTGCAATGAGCTTCTCCTACTTCTCTAGTCACCGATTGTCCATCCAAGCGGCAGAGGACACCGCCAGATCTGCCATGACAGGTCGCAGAACGGTCCTGCGTGGAGCGAAGCGGCGCGGCAACCTTTAAATGATAGTTTTTCGCTTTTCCTTCTGTTGCTGATTCGGGGGAAAGCCTGGGAGCCGAATGGCGCAACCAAGCTGTTCCCTGCGAATTTCACAACTATGGCAATGGTGGCGTGACAAACCTTGACCAATTTGGCGAATGCAGACGAGCCACTCCTTGCCGCCGTCATATCGAAAAACTGGAATTTCTTCGTTTGTGAACTTTCTGAAGCACTTCACTTCACAGCCGACACAGCCCACCACTTTGGGAGAAGCAACGCCTTCCGCATTGCGCAAGAACGAGCAAGAGTCTGGCATCTGCTCAGGTTGCGAACGAAACAGCCCAGCCTGAACTGCCGAAGTCAAACCAGGAGCCGGTCTCCTTTCTGGGAGCACGTGGCCTCATGCGGAGGGGCTTGTGTTCTTCCTTTTTGTGGCCGCTTGGCCCTTCCCTTGGCTCAGAGTTTGGCTTGAGCGAGGTTCTTTCTTTTGTGCTTGCTCGGTGTGGCTCGGGGTTTGGCTTGCGCTGGATCTTTTTGGGGGAAAGCAGGAGAGGGGGGGGAGGAAGGGGGGCTCAGACCCACCACGGTCGCATGACGGGTTTGGCAAGGATGCCTTTAAAAATAGAAAGGAGCCAAGCCGGGCCAAGCCACGCCTAAGAAAAAATAGCTCCAGGTCCCAACTGGAAATTTTTGTTGCAACTGTGGCAGGCCTTCATCTCTTCCTCTCAATCGCTAGTGGCTCGCAAAGCCACCACAAAGCATTTGGGAGCTTGATGGTCGCCAAAAGACATAGGGAGCCAGACTAAGACTATGACAGGCTTGTGGTGGGTTGTGAGAAGCCAGACATAGACAGATCCTCCATTGTGCGCCTCTCATAACAGAAGATCACCGAGGCGCTCTTCCAATCTGGCGACCAGAAACGTGCTGGGATAAGGAGTGGCCTTGACAGATCTTGACAGCAGATGGAAGAATTCATCAGCATTGCAGCCAGCGCTGGACAAGAAAGCTATTCAGTCAGGCAGCTGCCATATACAGTGTTTTGTAGGCCTGCACCTCCCTGCTGGCAAGCAGAGAGTAATCCTCACTAGTGAAGTTCGGCTGATCCAACAATCCTGCACCAAGCAGCAGACTCCCACCAACCTCCCACTTCCCCATGTGGAATAATTATGGCCGTGCTTGCGCTCCTTTCGTCCAGCGCAGGGAGCGCACGGCAATCTCAGCCGCTGGGCGAATATCTGCATCCGTGGCCGACTCTATCCTGGACAAGCTGACAAGCGCGAGCCCTCGAAGTCTTTCCAAGTTTCGGACAGCTTTTGCCCATCAGAATCCCGGCCGCCCAGTGGCTGAATCGAAGATGCCCGTCGAAGGCGCGCCTCTACCTGGGAGCTGAAGGGCCATGTAGTCAATGCAGTTTCCTCCCTTTGTCCTTCTTCGCTTTACGCGACGTTCGCCAGAGCAACTCGTGAGACCCGCCTTCCGGCCACGTAAGCCTCGAGACGCGAAAACCACGGCAGTCGAAGTGACGGCCCAGGCCTGCAATGCAGCAGATGATACAGTAAATGCTACCAGCGTGTGTCGATGTTGCCTTTTGCATCAAGGCCTCTTCGAACACTGCCGGGTACGTAAGTCCCTAAAATTGCGAACCCCAAGAAGTGCAGAGTGCTGAAAGCGAGCCTTTCCATGGAAGCGCTGCAGTGCAGATGCCCACGGGCGCTGCGCAAGCCAAGCCGGATGCGAGGGAGATAGGGCAGGCCTCACTGAAAGCCTTGCTGGCGCAAGGGCCATGGCCAAAAAGCGTATAGAGCTGGCCTTAAAGGTGATCCCTGAAAGGGGTAGTATGGTAAAGCTGACGTAGTGCTGGTGTGCTGCTGGCTGCAGGCTAACTGCACGCTGACAAGCCACATCTGTTCTCACGACAGTGAGCGATGCTTATACTCAGCGGACATGACCGGGTTCTGTTCGATGCGATGCAAGTGAACTCACTCAGCAGACTATGGGCATCACATGGGCCCCTGGGTGAGGAAATCAAGCCAAGCCAAGCCAAGCCAAGCCTTGCAAGCTTTGCTGAGCTCTGCCCAAAGGCCTTGCAGGAGCATTTGCTAAAAGGGCTGCCAACAACAGAGCAAAGGTGCATGTACATATACACTGGTAGTACAACATGTGCCAAATCATGCAGCAGTATGTATAGCGTAGAGTACCCGAGTATGTATGTGGATAGATAGACAGATAGATATATATGTTTATATATGTACTATATATATATATACATATTATGTGAGGATCCAGCCTGGCACAGGATCCAAATCTATGGCCACCGCGCCCGAGGCCTCTCGCCAGCAGCTCTCTCTGCCAGAAAAAGGGGGCACTGAGGGGCACTGAGCAAAAAAAACACCTTCGACCCTAAACCCCAAACCCTATAAACCCTAAACCCTAGGCCCTAGACCGGCTTCGGAAGGGTCGTGAGAGGGCTCTGGGCAGCGCCTTCAGGTCTGCCTCCTTGGCATCCCACAACTCACGTATCCTGCGGACTGGCATCGGCCTGGCGAAGGATCAGACCAACCTTTCGGCTCCCGAAGCAGACGCCGCCAAAAGTCAAGGGGGCCTCACTGAAGCATCTACCGCCGCAAGTTCTCTCCGCCTCAGAACAAGTGTCTGCAGCAAGCATCCAACATTATTTAACAATCTGCAGCAGGTAGCCGCAATACAGGCAAGATGGCACGCCTCAAATCCCTGCATCATTTCTGGCTCTGACTCCCTCTTGCAATTCTGCTTTTCTGCCTGCCCTTTGGCATACCCCAAGACTACTGTACCGTCCGCGTCAGGTGTCCATGCATCGATGGAGCATTAGACCTGGCCGGAGTTTTGAGTGCTCATGTGTCCATAACTGCGACCTCCGCAGAGGTGGCCGCAATACTGCGTGAAGAGCATGGTCAAAGCAAGGAGGCATAAAGCCGATCCAAGGATGATGTAGATAATCATCCACAAACCATCTCCCGGCACCAAAAGCATCGTCATGGTCCCGACGTAGATGTAGAACATGGCACGGCCCGAGGGGTTCGCCAAGATGAATGCCTTCTGGAACAACTTTGCTTGCACATCGCCGCAGCTTCTCATCCACGACTCCTTGCCGTCGCAGATGCAAATGATCACCCCAAAGAAGATGTTGTAGACGTTGGCCAGGTAATGTCTGGGCATAAACAAGACTGCAAAGGGGTTGATGAGAGTCACGATGCTGAAAACGACGAGCAACAAGCCGATGAGGAAGCACATAGTTTTCAGGCTGGTTGGGTTCTCCTGGACATAGACCGAGATTTCGTAGACCCCTGCTCTGGTCCTCTCTGCAGCTGCACGTGCACCAGTCTGCGCAGCGGTTGTGGCCATCTGCCGTTGCAGCTCGGCTGCTGGCGAGCTTTGCGCTTGCCCATACACCTGCGGCGCCGCCATGGCTCCAAGGCGTCTGGCGCTTTTGAAGAAGGTGCACGTCTACCACGCATGCAACAGATTATGGCACATTATGGCGATGCTCTGATGTCGACTTCACGGTCCTCAATGCCAACTCTAGTGGCTTTTCTCGCTGGCAGGGCTTGAGCCGGTCAAAATTGGTACAGGTCGACACTCTCGTCCGTGTTGCCATGCTGCCGAATGTTGCGGTACACCTCTGCCAGCACTTAGCAGGGGACGCTGTAATCGCTGCGCGCCCGAGCCTCAGCACCGCATGGGAACAATGGCGGATGACTCAGCAGCTCTGCTTGGCTAAAGTTAACGAGAACTAGCTTCCGTTCCTGAAGCCGGCCAGTAGGAACTGAAGTGTTTGCGCTGTCTTGAGGTCTGGGCGCGTTCGTGAACGAATGGGCATTTCCACCAATCTCATGCCACCAGCCTACCAGCTTCTGCATCTTCGCAAGAAAACTGCAAATTCACATCATGCCAAGTCACCCATAGCGACTGCCAGCAGGGCTCCGTATAGACGGGACCTGATTTCAGACTGCCACACGCCACAAACTTAATTTCAAGAGAGGGTCGGATTCAGATGTCCGAAGCTTCAGGCCTACGGCATTTGATGGGCTGGTAGGAGTCGGCTCCGGCCCATCATGCTCCCTATGGCTTCCGGCCACCATTTTGTGACCCTCCGGTGGGTTACTCGGAATTGTTCTGGACACATGTGGATCACCAATGGACCCCCTCTCTGTCGTCACTGCCGCCTGCCTACTCCCCGACCCCCACCCGTGTTCTGATGCAACCAGGGCATGTGCTCCTTACCATCAGGCCGGATTGCACGTAGTACCTCGAAGCGACCAAGACAAGAATGACAATAAGAAATCAGAATGGAGAAATCTCTGAGGGCAGCACAAAGTGTTGCAGCTCTTGTGGGCTGGGCAGGGGGATGCCTCCTGAAAACGTCCATGCTTGCCAGCTTGTGACTGCAGTATGCAGCCCCCTGCATACCCATGTCGTGCACAGCCTTCTCCTGAGCCTGGACATGTGCTACCTTGCTCCGCGCATCGGCTCTGTCCTTGTGTCTGCGTTGCTGCACCTGGGGGGCTGTTCTGAAGCCTTGCTGCCATCTCCTCGCAGACTCGCACGCAGCTTGCTGGCCACATGGGGAGGCAATGTACAGATTGCATGCGCTGAAACATGAACCACATGTAACTATGTACATATGCCTTTTGTCTCAGCAGTCCCACCATGTCCCACTGCGATAAACTTCTAGATCTCTGTCTAGGTTCTAGTTGCCTGCACATCAAAAAATGTCCGTAGCTCAGAAGGAAAGTCGTGCTCCTCAAAAATCCCCAACAAAAAACTAAGCAAGTCATCTGGGCACTGCGCCGCCACTTCGTGGTCTTGGCCAGTGATACCCTTGAAAGACAAGCTGAAGCGGTGGAGGCACGTTCGCGCACTGAGCCGCAGGTCTGCCGTCAGAGTAGCCAGCGATGAATAGGTTTCATCTCGAGCCAACGGGTGACCAATGTGGGAAAGGTGGCTGCGAATCTGGTGCCGCCGACCTTCCAATCAGTCATGAGCATTAGAGTCATTAGATGCCGTGAAAGGGCAACCCGCGGCAACCCTGCATGAGCGGAGGGCCTGTAAAGATGCGCACGGAAAGCAGGCTCACAGCATGTGCGGCAACAGCACTGCGAGCAAGGACGTGAAACAACGTCTTGCTCGCTTTGCCACTGCCACCTGCGTCAACGCATGGCCCTGCCCCAAACAACTATGCGTCATACTGTCGTGAAAATGCAGCTGCAAACTTGACGCAGGTAGTATGCTTTGCCATGCCTTGCCTGATCGTGTCGGATGGCCACCGCCCCATGACACAGCGGCCGAAACCTCCCTGCCGCGCATCCAGCCGTGGACCAGCGCCAAGTACTTGCGCGTGACGCGTCCGGCCGCAAGCTGCCCTTGCAGATCGTAGAAAGCCTCCCGGCACTGCCATGCTGAATGTCAAGCTTCTGCTTCCTTCTTCCTTTTTCCTTTTTGCTTCCTTCTAGGGGGAAGGCGCTACTATGCGCATCTCCAATGCGCAAGAATGCTGATGCACCAGGCTGAAAGTGGAGGGGCAGGAAGCAAGGTGGCAGAAAGAGAGGGACACGAGACGGATCACGAAGTCAAAGCCACAAACTCCAAAGGTCTTTTGCTTGTCCGTCCCAGGGCCCCAGCGCTTTCAATCCCAACTTGTGTTTTGAGCGCCCATACCCTCCAATATCCTCCAATGCTCTCCCCAAGGACAAAGGCCTCACCTTCAGTGATGCATGTAGGTTGGGTTTTGACGACAAACGCTTTCTTTGCCCACACTCATCCACTTGTAGCGGGCGCTTGCCTCTCCGAGGTGAACTCATATTGAACAGTACTGCGCGAGAATGTTAAACAACAAGCCGCAGGTGTGGCACAGGCTCCCTAAACCGTGGAAAAAGACGAAGCACCGCCGCTGACCCGCTGCGCTGGTGTGATCTCGCGTGCATGGTTTGCACATGTTTGCACTCTCTGCGCCTCGTATGTCTTGGCTGCTAAAACCAAGCCAGAACTGGGCACATCCAGGCGGTGGAGGAAGCCAAAACTGTGGCTTGGATCCTAGGCTGAGATGCAGGGCGGCTTCTCAGAAAAGTGTTCGCTCTCGCCTTCATTTCCATGACCAAGGGGCGTGTGCCAGCGGCGTGGGACTTCGCTTCTGCAAGAAGCAGCGCAGCCTGAGCGCGCGCACGACATCGGAAGTGAACCGACAATTGGAGGAAAAAAACTATCAGCCATGCGATGTGTACAGGCAAGGGGCTGATTGGGCAAGAAACCATCGTGCACCTCCCAGCCCGGGGGCTTGTACAGTACAAGCCTGTCAGACAAGTCCAATTCGACTCCAGGGTCCTGGCCGGAGCATGCCAGGAGGCTTTCTAGCAACAAGCAACCCGCAGTGATTTGAAAACTTCCATCACTATATTGGCATACACCCAGTCCGCTCACTGCGCTCTGATGCACTTTGTAGGATGTCCTCCGGCACAGCTGCATCCGATGGCAGAGTCTCGTTGGCACTGGAAGCTGCCACACCCAGGCGAAACTCTGCATCCAGATTGCGGCCGATTGTCAGCATGTGCTGGCTTACAAAGCCGAAGAAGTGAGTGGTGAGACACTTGGCGAAGCTGCAAGCCCAAGTGATGGTCAGCATGTGCTGGGCAGATTCTTCCCTACACCCAGGAAGATTCTGCTCGCGCCACCAGCAAGCTCTAGCTGCCTTCTGTATCCACAACAGGGTAGCAACAGATGTGGCAAAGTCTGGATTCACGGCCGCAGAGGCCCAAGCAATCACAGACAAGTTCTCCAGTGATAGAGATGTCAGCTCACTGGCCAGCAACCTGTTTGGAGGCCATGAAAAGCGTGCACACTGTACATCCTCAGGAAATCCCTTCAGGTTCGAATATGTGAATGCCAGAAAACACCCCTCAAACTTTCCTCAACATGCCTCACCATTCTGGAGATTAACGGGCCATTGTTTGGGCTCTGCTCTCGAGAACCATACACAGACTTCCAGGCTTACCGATGTGTTGCTTTTGCTGTTAGTCGTGCTGTTCAAGCACACAAATGCCTTTACAGCCGGCGGTTTTTGTTGACAACTCGCCTATGCGTACTGTGATTGTCATGCGGAGCTGAGGTATGCCTGCTGCTTTTCCTGTCGAGCGGCTTGGCACAGAGAGCCTGCACGCCCGCAGCACTCCAGGTTCCCAGTGTGGCCAAGGCCCACCACACTGTTGACGCATCCTGATCAACTCTTGAGGTGCTCTGATTGTGGGGAGATTTCTACTTCTGTGCAACAGCATGGCCCTGCTTGCGTTGAGCAGCTTGGTCTGCTAACGAGCGGCTTGACACCAAGTCATATAAACATAAACCGAAACCCAAACATTTCCAGATGAGTTGCAGATACTTGCTTGACACCACTCCCACCCACACGGGCCTTCGCATCGTACTGGTCAAGCTCCGCCCACACGTTGTCAAAGGCAGCGTGCAGGACTGCAGGTTCGCGCACGGAGAGTCGGGCCAAAGCCCTCAGCATATGATACATGAGAAGGTCTTGCTGAATGTGATTGCCCGAAGACTGCTGCCCTATTTCCTGGTGTGTGGAGTGTGGTTCACGTTGCACGATCTGCTTGTTTCGGAGGTTGGGGTGCTGCACATTCAGACTTGCTAAGGGCTGGTCAGGCAGAACGAGGCCGACGAAGTCATAGGCACCCTGCCATCCTCTCCCACATACAACGGTCCAGCTTCTCAGGCAATGTGATTAATTGCTGATTACTGCCTGCATTGCCGTTCTTCTAGACCCCTTGGCATGTCCTCCGACTGCCAGAGTGCTATGAGTCCTAGATCCTTCCGTCCAGCATTCTCACATGCCTTGATGACGAGATCGACGCAGATGTCCGACAAGGGGACCTGCGTCTTGACAATGCCTGCGTATAGCCGCACGGTTGCCTCCCATACCTCACCGCGTGCAGCTGCAGTCATCACGGCGCCATAGTGGGCTGCGCCAGGGTTGATGCGAAACCAGAAGCTCGTCGCGTGCAGCCTCCCCAGGGCTGCTGGCCATGACTGTTCGGCGTCTGCAGACAAAAGGCCACCAAGAGTAACAGCGTTGGGCTGCAATCCGCGAGCAAGCATGCGACTAAACATTTGCAGAGAGCATATCCACTTGCCCTGCTTCTCGCATGCACTGAGAGCGGTGTTGAATTGCGAGATGGTAGCTGCACATCTCAACAAAGTCAAAGCCCCGTTCCACGGTCCAGAGCCGAGGCGGATATTCATGCTGACAGCATCGGGCCGCACGGAACCCGCTCGTGCTTGGCACCAGAAATCTGCCACGCGTTGCCAGGCACTTTCTTTGGCAATGCCTGAGGCAACCTTGGCAGCACAACCGCAACTCGGTGCCACAGCCATCACGGACGGGCACTTACTATCGCAGATGCCAACGGTAACGGCACATCCGACCGAGATCCAGACCACATTGTGGGCGACCAGGTCGGGCTTCACATTGACCAGTTGCACTAAAGATAAACACCTGTGGGAAGGAGTGCGGGAAGCGACATTCTTCATTCAGTTTTTAAGGCAAAGCCCCCCAAAGAACCCCCTTGCACTCTCATCTCACACTCTTATCTCGGGCCTGAGTGTGCTTTGCCAGTGGCTGGCGCCAAAAGAGCTCACCACGAAGGAATCCAGGATCACACCTGCTTGCCGAATCGAGCCTGCAGAAGTCTCAGTTCAGCATGCTCCGAGACTGTAAAGCCCTTCCTGCCGACCCTCACTTTTGGCCCTGCAGGCCTAGCACATTCAGGGCACGCTGCCATGCCTTCGCAGCTTGGACGCGAAGAATGGAGGTGATCAAAGGCAAATTGTTCTGCAAGCCAGCCGAAAAACTCAGAAGTGCGATGCCGAACTCCCAGCGTTCGTGGCAAGCTGTTGCCTGAAACACAAGATAGCAGAAGGTCTGGACAGAAATGATTCTGCCTGCAGAAGCTAGCTTTTGTTCCAGAGGCACATGGTGGTAGCACGCGGTGTTTGGATCCATCCCCCTAGCCATCATGGCCAGCAAGCCATCTAGAACGGCTTGCCAGGCGTCAGCTTGCCGAAATGCTGCGACTTCGAAAGTGCGGTGCAGCCTCAGTTTGCTGCAGGCAGTCGGCATCCGCGGCCCGGATCTAAACCCGTTTACGCGAGGGACTTGCTGCAGTGGCTCGCCTGGTGATGCGGAGCCGTCCTGCAACTGCTACCCTAACCCCCTGCTGGTTCGTATCTGAAGGCGAGGATCTTGCCAGGTGCCACTCGAAAGCACCCCAGCTGGTGAAGAAGAGCGAGTGTCTGTCGCCAAGCTTCTGCATGCTCAAGGACGTACAGGAGGCTTCGAATGCTGGTGGTATCTGGCCCAGTGGTAGAGCCGGACATGGTCATGAGGAGATGCCTGATGAGAGCTTCAACGGATCAAACTGTAGAAAGCTTCGAATGAGCCCAAGACTCTGCCTATCCAAGCTGAGGGTGCTTTCGATACCCCAACAACTTGCTCTCCCACACTCCAGAAATGTCTCTTGGGGCATGCTGGCTCTTTGTGACTCGATCTCCCAGAATTCCTACTGCAGCGATGCAAACAAGACCACACCGAGGTTCGTCAAGTCAGGGCCAGTACCAATTGGAGGATTTTGGATGTGGGCGGGTGCCTCTAAACTGTCCATTTCTCGTGGGGGTTGGTGTATTGGGGTTCCAACACCTATAAAACACCAGGATCGAGGCCAGTGCTTGAAATCATAGCCTTTCAACAGTGAAAGCGGGCAGCAATTAATCCTTAACCCAAAACCCTTTTTTGCCACAACCCTGAACCCCAAACCCTAGACCCTGATAATCAGAAGAGCAGGGCACATCGCAGGGATCCAACAGGATCCCCCGGCTCTGGCGCAGCTGCCGATTGCCACGTTGTAGCCTGCAGGGGTGCAGCATCGTGCGATTTTGCAGAGCGTATACGGCCATGCTTAAACCGAAGCTTCAAACAATACTTGCCGGTTCTTACATGTTCTTACCCCTATATACCCTTCAACGCATTAAGAACTACATAGGGTACCTACTTCCGCATTCCCTACTGAGAACCAAAGGGGAACAGTCCAAACACAACCCACAGCATAACTCGACAGAAGCCATCAAACTTATCAAGCATGAATCAAAGCAGCTAATGCCATCTCCCTGCACACCGCGCTCTGAGCCGTGCTGGAGCAGCCCAAGAGCCCGGTCCCACGCTGCACCAGACATCGAGCTCATGGCCTCTGCCAAATGATATGGGCATTTCTCAATAATAATAATAATAATAATAATAATAATAATAATAATAATAATAATAATAGGGGGCACCCCTTTTATCCCCCAAAGTAGAATAGAATCCCCTTAGAGGGACACCCAAAAAGGGCACAACTAGTTCGGAAACCCCCATATGCGGGCACATGCTCACCTTCCTTGTTAACCTTTGAGTTCCGCTGCCACCGTCCCCCAACATTCTCTTATGCCCTCTGGTGCACATGGATGCGTGTGGCATCTTGCATCATGCTCTTGCAGACATGCTTGAAAAAGACATCAACTTCAACCTTCTGCGCTTTGAAGCCTGAAACCTTCTGCTAGGAGCTTGCAAGGCACCCCGCAGGTTTCAGCAACTACCGAAGGGTTGTCGACTGATTCCTTCCGGATAGCGCCACCCCGCGAAACTTGTGCTCAGCCAGGGTGCAGAGCTCAGAGTCACTGCATCGGGCATCAGCTCTAAATGCTGCATCTGTATTACGGAGAACAGAGCAAGCGGCCACCTCCTTCGGGTTCCTCCCACTGCCGCGACATTCCAGCAATGTACATCCGGCAGGATTTCGGTCTTGTACATGTCCTTTCACTTGAGAACTTCATTCTGAGCGAATCCACAGCAGGCGAGGGATCAAACAACAGGGACCAAGGAAGTTCGAAATCCGTGCCTAGACTAGGCCACGGGCCTTGAATTAGGCCATAGGAGAGAAAACGGAGTCTTCAACGCAGGGGCCTCCCCCCCGCACCCCCTCAATTTCAACGTTGAAGTTTCAGTCCATGGGTAGCGCGTGGCGTCTGTGCCAATTTTTATCTTGCAGAGTGATGTGCTCGCGGTCAGCCTGCTCTCCAACATTTAAGTGGGGGGGTGAGGCGGTCCCTGGGAGCGGGTTGGGGGGGTGGGTTGCCAGCGGCTCTGTCCACTGCTGCAGCGGCTTTCACGCGAGCGTCTTGTTCAGGATCAAATAAGCACATTCTCTCGACACTGCCGCAATCGCGTCTCTGCCAACTCACTGGCTTGGCTTTTGGTCACTGCAAGTACACTCTTGTACCTGGCCATTTAACTGGGATTCTGAGGTCTCGCTTGCGTAGCGAAGGCGAAATGTTTAAACGCAGCCATTGTTGCCAGGGTTGAGGCAAACGTGCTCGGCGTTAAAACATAATGCTTGGCTGTGGCTTGCCCTTCTACTCTGCCACGGATTCTAAGGACCTGCTTGTCAACAGAATGAGAAATGTTTGAAAGCATGGCGAAAGTGTTTTGACTTTGCCACGCTGAGGCCAACGTGTTCGGCCTTTAGATGACCTCAACTTGATATGATGGCTTTGTTATAGAATACATCTCTTCTCGATTCTCAAAGCAGCCTTTTTACAAGCTGAGTCTTTGGTTGGATAGCTAGGTATTATTGCTTGTGAAGATGGGGAAATGTTTGAAAGCATCGCTTGGTTGGTTTGAGTTTGCTTGCAACAGTGTCAGCGCAGCCCTTCTTAATTTGCCGAGCCTTTTCTTGGATGCTCCAGCGTGCTCAGCCTTGCACAAAAAGAAACGTGGCTTGACATGGCTTGGCTATGGCTTGAGTTCATGGTTTGGCTGTGTCATAGCCGAGGCGCAGGCTCCTAAACTAGTATGCCTCAAGAGGCAGAGATGCCGTACTGTATTAACAGTGTCTGAAGCCAAAGAAAAAATGCATCCGTGCACAGGCAGCAATGTTGAATTTTGCAACCTTTGGAGTCTGGATGAGTCTGGCTGCAACTTGTCACTAGTATCTTGTTGGAGCCCACGAGCAAGACGACGCTGCAAGGTTAGGCCCTCATTGCTTCCCTCCCTCGCTCCCTTCTCGTTCCTTCCTGTCTTCCCTTTGGAAGGCATCTCATATTCTATTCGAAGCCTATAGGATGTTTTGTTGATCTGTGTGTCATTGTTCTGGTCCCTCTTTTGAGTTTTTTTGATCCCCATCATTTCTCTGTCCCACCCACAGATGCATGGCAATAGTTTACAGCAAACTTCCACCGACTGTAGCATTCACAAAAAGGAATCCTCCAGAAAGCTCAGAGTGGTACGCCACTGTTGGCTCTTCACCAATGGGCCCAGCGCAGCTGTGCAGCCAATGGCATCTGGCAGCACTCGCAAACTCCTCCATTGCAGCCATGTCTGGGATTTGAGTACTCGGTATTTGGGGTATAACAGGGCTACCCCCTATTTTGGGAAATGCCCACTTGGCAATCCGATGAAGTGTCGCACGGCTAAGCCTAGGCAGTGGCCTCATCTGCGGCAGTAAGTAGGTAGCTGGGGCCGGTAGTCCATTCTTGTCCCGCAGCAAGCTGGCCATGTTGCACATCCTCGGGCCCAGGCTTGTTGCGTCCGAACACGCTTCGACGCTCAGAGCGTGAGACAACAACAGCATCACGAAATCTTGCGATTTTGTTTGTTGGCCAAAGCCCCACATATCAGTCGTCGAGTGTCTGGAAACAATGACTTGCGGATCTATCGAGATCGAGGCCCCCTTCATTTAAAAAACCGAGCTTCGTTTCGTTAGAATTGACATAGTCAATGAAAACCGTGCTCAGAGGCTGAAAGGCGGAAGCGGAGATGCAAACAAGTTCCACAAAATCACAAAAAAGCCGATGCTGCTCCGGACATGCAACCTGTGCCACACCGGAAAAGCTGCACCCGGCTTTGGCGAGGTGGCAACAAGTCAGCCTCTTCACTTTGGCACAGTGTTCCCAGTATTCCCACTCCTCAGAGTGGTGAAAGAGTGAGGGTCTCTGTTACATGTGATCTACGTGGCGTTCCAGCCTCCCAGCATCCTGACTGATGCTGGCAAGGCTTGGGCTAGAATGGCTTTCGAGGCCAGATCTCCGGTTCTCAAATCGACGGGACAAGCGAATTCCAAGCCCTGTCTCCTGCAGTAGCGTGCCAGCCGGACTGCCATGCAACAGCTTGGCTCCTGCAACAAAGTCCCTTGTCTTGACTCAGATGCTTACCTGCAGTTGGCCCGCGCGAGTGAAACTCTAAGGCCTTGTGTCGCAGCAGCTAGTGCATCTTCGTGTCCTCAGGCGATATCGCGTGTGCGCGCTTTGTGTTGCTGCGGAAAAAGGCCAGGGACCAGGCTGCAAAGCGTCTCCAAGCCGGATGCCTTCGCGTTGCTTTGGCAAACACGCTCTCGGCAATCCCCCGGTTGATTGAAGTCTTTGTATCTTCAATGTAAAGGACAGGCACAAAGGGCGGGATCAATCTAGACGTTTCACTCAATTTAAACAAAGTCGTGTTGCACAGCATCCTAAACATCATGACGCTTGTTAAAGTGCGCCGCAGGTAGTACACTCAGGCGATCAGCCTGGACATCCTCCCGTGGCTTCGTTGGCACCCCTGCAGAAAAGTTAATTCTGCCCCCGAAACCCGAAACCTTAGCGGCTTCCAGCACTACATCAGCCGGATCTCCTTGCCGCTCGGATTTCGCCAGCTGGATGATGCAGGCGATGCTTTTACATTACATGCTTTGCTGCACTGCTGGCACTGGCCCTTGCTGCCTCTTCGGAAGCCTGATCATAGATGTGGCCTTTCTTCCGCTGCCGTTCCCCGTGGCCCTGCCTCCACGTTTGCCGGTGCCTTGTCCTTTGTCTGCAGCACCTGTTGTTGCCTTGGCTTTTGTTTTTCCCTTGGCTGTTGCTTGCTCAGTGTTCATGGCCTTGGCCTTGGGTTTTTCTTTGCTCTTGCCCTTTTGTCTTGAGCTGTGGTCTCTTTTGTGGCTGCTGGCGAACCACACGGCGACATGCTGATGGAAACTATGTGCTTCACTGCGTCACCCTCCTCGTGCTTCGGGGGTGGCTCTTCATCATCTTCTTCTTCTTCGAGATAGGAATCCTTCTCCGTGCCATCAATGATGGCTGCCGTGCGCACCAAAGCTCGGTGGAGCATTGCATCGTCTGGTTTGAGCTCGATGTCCTCTGCGACGTTTCCCTATGACATCACTTCAAGTGCGCTCCCGTTCGTATCCGGTACTGTGAGCGGGCGCACTGTGAATGGTTGTCAGTCAACATGTGAGGGCAACCCTTGCACATATTTCGCGAAAATTCAATTCAAAGCAGCTGTGCACCGGGATGCTCGGCAAAGTGATACCTAAGCCTGCGACCACCACTTCGTGGCACAGAACCTCGGTCATGGTCAGCTCTAGCGGATTTAGCATTGAACGCCTGGCGCAGCTGACAACAAGCGGACAGGCACTTGGCTGCAGACATCCCCCATCTCCACTCCCGTGCATGCGTCTGCAACGGCATTGGCAGCGAGATTCGCGGCCTGAGCTCTGATTTTCTGGCGCAGCGCCCAGAGTCCATGGAAAAGGTATCTGGGGCCATCCAGGGCCGCAGCCAGGGCGCAAGCTGCCCTGCGTCGGAAGATCTCGGCGGAGGTCTTTCCCTGGCGTTCGCGTTCCGCGCGCACACACGTGCCCTCCAAACTATTGCGGGAAATACGTCTGCGAGTCCAGTGTACTGCGCGACTGTGCTGTTTCTGGACGGTTTGGGCATGATTCTTCGGCCCATAACAAGCTCGCTCAACAAAGGCGCTCGTCATTCGTCTCCAGAAGCAAGCACAACCAAAACAAGTTTTGCACGAGCCTCAGTTGCCTTGCCATACAACAGCCAGGCATCAAAGTGCTTGCCGTTGGCCTCGACCCACATGGCACAAAACTCAACAGTTGAACACGACGCCGCTTCGAAAGAGTGAGCTGTTGGGTTGCCACCTCTAGTTGCCTTGCCAGCTCCAGGTACGGCACCTTAGAAGCCATGCAAAGGCAGAGCTATTCAAATGCCGTTCCTTAACGGGGTCTTGCAGGGAGTCACATGAGTTACTTTTCAGAAGTGGCATTCAAGGCATTCAGTGTTCGATTCTGATGGTGTGCCCACCGCACCTGCCGTGGAGAAGCTGGCCAGGATGGCCCGCATGGTCCGGCCTCGGTACAAGTCGAACCGCTGCAACCCCGCAGAGTTATAGCAGAAGTTGCCGTGCCGTGCAGTTCTGCGCGTTCGCCGACTTCAAATGCTCCGAAATCTGAGACCATGGGCTGGAAACTTGGGATCGGCCCGGATGAGAATTCCCACTTCAACATCTGCTGCCACCGCCTGAGGCTCACGAGCAGCACAAAGGCCCATTTGTTGCAAGCTCTCTGTCCTACGTGCGGCTGCCGTGTGTCTGGGACGCTTTTTTGCACGAGCTTGCATGAGTTGGTCCTCGCAAGAAATAGGCGCCCATACCCTCTCGTTGAGAGGCTGTCCCTAGATGGCAAGGAAGCAACATAAAGCAGGCAATGTATTCAACCGGAAGCCCCCACAATGTGGGAGCACGGAGCAGATATTGTATGGCATGGTCGGTTGCACATAAAATCGCTCTTCAAGCGATGAGGTGCCCTTCCACTGCGCAGAGATTCTCAGAGAGAGAAACAGAGAGCATTACATCAACCGGCTACAAACGCGGGTCGTCTCTGAGAGCTCTGGGAATTTTGCTGCCATGCAACATATTGCAACATGGAAAGCCGATTCCTGGCATGCCCCATGCGGGGGCCATGGCGTGCAGAGACTCAGCAGCTACGTATCTCCATACTCGTCACCCATCACTGGCCAGGAGCCGTCTGCCATGCTTCGATGCACTGAATTTCGCAGAATTGCGTGCCGCACTGGTGGGGAAGCGACCAATTCATAAATCGGCAAAAAAACATTCATGCACAGATTCCACAGATGAATCTATCCAATTGTATCCACACTCCGCTTGGACAGCCTCTTAGGAAGAGATGGCCTGAACAAGGGCCAAGTCTTAAAGCCAATGCTCGGAACATTCTGTTGTGGTGGTGTGGCGAATCGATGCAACCTGCCTACGTGCTCTCGGACCCACCGCCGCATCCAGCCGCATGACGAGCAAACCAAGGAGTTCTTGCATTGCCCTCGACTCGCAGCGCAACGTGGCCATGTCCACACCTAGACGGCAAGTCAGGCAGTCGGGAACTGGGGAAGATAACGCATCGTTCCGCCTGAAGCACTGCCGCGCAAGCGCAGGCAGCCATCCACAAAGGCCTTAACTGTCGGAGTTCGGAGAGCAGTAGCCTCCCAGTAGCCTTGATGTGATTGCAGCTGAGGTTGGGGCCTCTTTCGAAATTGCACCACAAGCTTCTTCATCCAGAAGCTTGAACAGAGTCCAAGCGTCCCCTCGCAACATGTTTCAATTCAAAGAAGGACTGCTTTGAAACATCCCTGTTTCAGTATGAAAAAGCCGCGTGCCTCCCTCGATCCCCAAGGCTTGCAGGGTAAACTTGCCGTTCTCCTCTGCCATCCATACCTTAGCTTGGCCCATCTTTGCTTTGCGCTGAGCATTGAAGGACGCCAATCAACCCAAGGCTCCTCAAACTCATCCAGCGTGATGCCATCGGAGTCATCCTTGTCAATGAAGTAGAACAGGTTTAGCCTCAGACAATTCGCCCGCTGCTGACCCCCGACATGGCAAAACCCACAGACAAGATAACGATAAGAACACATTGACATGCAGCTGAGCCTTCGGCAATTGGTTTCGCATGTTCGTGGCATCTTTAGAGATGGCGACAATGTCAGGGTCCCGTGATAATGCTTCCATAGCACTGTTGCAGAACACGCCAGTCAGTATGTTCAGCAGCGCAAAGTACGTGAAAGAGATATACAGTATGAAGATCACTCCCATCACCGGATCCAAGTCATTCAAGGGAACGTACACGAGCTGCCAGTTGATGCCACCCGAAATGGCCATGAAGCAAGTGGTCATTGATGTGAAGAGGTCCCTCCAGAACTCCAGCCTTGCACGGCAGCACGGTAGACAGGATCGTTAGAGTTGGAGAGGCGCAGGGATCACAAACAAATCGACTGCGGGGGGTCTTTGTGCGTTGAAGGGTCAAGGCTGACTCCGCATCCTCCACGACTTCCAGCCCCTCGGCCATCACATGGGCTGTGACCGTTTGGGCGAAGAGAATGGAGACCTGAAGCAGACAAGCACAGGACGAGCACAAGCATTCTCACAGAAAACCTCAGGTCGATACCAGCTGATGGGCAATTGAGCATGAAGGAATTCGGCATACGGAACATGGCCATACAATAAGTCTATACCCATCTAGAATCTACACATCCCTTCGTGATGAACATCAACCATCTTCAAACAAAAAACTGCGTGACTAGTTGTTCCCGGGCACAGTGTAGATCATGAGAACGAGTAGCACCGCCTCATCGCAGCACTTTGCCAAGGCTAAGGTCCAGACAGCCCGGCAATCTCTTATGGGCTGACTTTTGAGATGTTTCTGGGCATCTCCATTCAGTGCATCCTGCTGCATATTTTGACAAGCAACGGCCCAGACCAGATACCACAGAGTGTGCGAAATTGAAGAAACCTAGGCGACTCTCTGAACACAGTGTTCAGCTTCTCTTGGGGAACTTGACACGGCCCAACACGTGGTTGCGCTAAGCGCGCCGATGATCATTCAAACCTACGCTTTCATCAAAGCCGCCTCGAAAGTTCGCAGCAAAAGAACACACAGAGAAGTGTTCTGCAAGTGGTCGACCGAGGTTGTCCTCTGTTGAGCTGAGAGGCCAGGGTCTGCAAAGGCCCAACATATTTCAAGAGGGAGGGGATGCGAAGTGCACGTAGTAATCGCGTCACCTCACACATGGCTGATCACGGCTGCTCCTAAACCCTAAACCCTAAACCCTAAACCCTAAACCCTAAACCCTAAACCCTAAACCCACAACTTTTCGCCAAGGCACCCGGAGGATCTTCAGCAGGCGTAACTGCGAGAAGCCGGGCATTCCCTCCAAGGGCTCATGGAAGAAGCTGTGGAGGTCCTCTTCTTTTTTTTAAGGGGGAGGGGGGGGGGTTAGGGTTTCGGGTTTACCTTCAAAGGTATATCTTCCGGTTCAAAACAGAGCCCCCCCCCCCCCCCCCCCCCCCCCCCCCCCAAAAAAAAAGGCCCCAAGAACCACAAGGCTTCAGGGAGCATCTTGGGGGCCTCTAAGTCTGCGCGCCAAGGCTCCAGACTGAGCTCTATGGCCGACCCCACGGCCAGAAAAGTATCGAACAAGAACCAGACACAGCCAGCTTGGCGCACAGACAATCGCCAACCGAAGGCATACCTGAAAATGGCACAGCTCCGCGACAAAAAAAAGAGAGAGAGCAAGCTGCGCAGGGAGAAGTTGCCCGAGACAATGCCAGGAAGCAGTCGCAGAAGAAGTTCAAGAGCAAAGACAATGTTGAGGGTGATGCGGACTGCTACCTGGCAAAGGGTCCCGCTCAACATTCAAGGAGCTCTAGACAGATGGCAGGAATACTGAATACAGATGGCAGAGAGCACTAGGAATACTGAGCGTGGAGCAAATGCAGTTGGAAGGGCCGTTGTGTTGTCCGTGGCCGTGTACTGTACCTGGTGCGGAATATTGCTGAATGGTGCAGGGATGTGCACACCCTGCCCCGCCTCGAAGCCGACCAGCAGCGAGCTCAATAAAATCACCACGGCAAGGCACATGTCAACCGTACTGCTCCTTCCAGCGACAGTCATTGGGCATCCGCAGCGGTACTTACTTCGATGACGTGCAAGATCGTGCAAGATTGCGTGCAAACCCCAACAATCCCCAACATTCAGCCCCCCCAAAGCCTCATACACCTTTGCACCAATGTCGGCTTGATCTTGTCATGAGAAGCATTTGAGCTCCGGAGGCTCCGCGCATGTTCACGGCGCGTCTCGTCGCCCGTGGCACCGAAAGATAAGCTCAATCTCTTCGCCTTGGTCCGGGGAGTGCCATCCTCCTGCAAATCGCCAAGCTTTGCAGCTGAGAAAGCTATGTTTCACGACGGCTTCAAGTCTACAGCTTAGAGAGGTCCTCATCCGCACGATCCTTCCGAAAGGTAAGATCTGCCTCTCAGACATTCTTTCGCGGCAAACCGATGTCTAGTTGAAGAACCGCAGGCGGTTTAGCATGCCGTGTGCAACACTCTCCTTGCTGCTGCTTTCCGTGAGGTCGGCGGAACCGATGAGTGTCGGGGGCATCGTGAGAAGATGCGGGAAGTTAGAAGAGACTTCGGACTCCTTGGAACCAGACAAGGCACATGTCTTAGGAACAAAAAGTCGAAGTAGCCGAGGTGCCGTAGCAACATCTCCTCCCAGCTCACCATGACGCCTCAATCGACGACCACTGCTCAAGGCTGAACAGGGAGTTACAGGGATGTCAGAGGCTCAGGCCTGACTCTAGGCACCACTTCCCGGCGCAGCAGGTCTCGCAAGCGTGCCTCGAGCCGCAGCTCAAAAGACCGCAGTTTGTCCTCCGGCTTCATAGGGTTTTTTGGCTTCTTCATGGGACTGCGGTAGGCTGTTGGAGGTGACAGACCGTGGCTGCTCCTCCAACATCTCGGACAACAAGTAGCGCAGAGCTTTTTCAGGATGCTCCGTCATGACCGGCTCATCAGGCCGCGAGCATGTGGACTGTAGTGAGTCAGCCATGCTGCGCTTTCATCTGACTGGAACCTAACTCTTAATTAGGGCACCTTGGATACCAAGCTGCGGCACAAGGACTGCACATGACCAGATTCAGCTAATTCTTCGGTCAGTCACGCGTCGAACATGTCGAACACAACACCGGAAGCTATGGCAAGCCAGGGCTGGCCTCGGCATCCTTGATGACGCACATCGCTTCAAAGAGCTCTCGGGCCTTGATATATAAACTGTGTTCGCGCCGGGGAAATCCCCCGAACAAGTAACAGTTCTGCCGGTTACCTTCTTATAAACCCACCCTTCGAAGAGCCACCTCCCATTGCCGATTCTCGCACTGTAAACGGTAGAAGCGGGCCATCATGGCCTCAATTGCGACACATTGACGGTAGCATGGTACTAAGCACACAGAAGAGGCAGGCATCAAATCTCCACGATGCCACGGCAAAGGCCCACACGCCAGAAGTCGTGCGAACGCGAAATTGGTCGCTTGCTGACAGGTAGCCCAGCCTTGGGTTTGCCATGCTTACACCTCCCTCTACTGATCATGCAGGTGGCCCACCCGTGTTCTCAGATGGTGGCTGCGTCCAGCGCTTTCGCCAAAAAGATGCGAAGTCACAGACGCAAAAATGAAGCAGCATGGCCTCATGTCTGTTCCGGCAAGTCTGCATGCTCTGGTCACGCTCTACCCTCCCCATCGAAGCGACATTTCTGAGCCAGGCAACCTATCTACCCCCATGCCAACATTGGATGCAGAGATTGCTTGCGTCATTCTGAGAGCGGGGTGGCTGTTTTGACATTCACCTTGCCTAATCCTCATCTGGTGCTGCTGCAAGTCCTCATACTGTCATACTACTTAAGACTTCTCATTCCACCGTCAGGATACACAGCATGAAGACCCCCCACCCTGCCGAAACTCGCTAATCGGGCGTGATTTCATGTCACCAGCCTGGAAAGTCCTGTACAAAGCTGAGTCGAGCATATGCATGCAGAGCTGGAAAAATGCAATCCATGCCCCACATCGTGTTTAACGACAGAGGTGCAGAAAACAAGTTCAACCAACACTCCGCCCGTCATTCTTCTGGGGCACTGCGTTTGGCTCAAACTGGCTGCGGGATTGCATGACTCAGCATACGTAATGGGGACCGTCTAAAGCGCAGCTTGTAAGTCGTCCAGCCATGTCCAGCCACAGAGACTTTACCATTACTGGAAGTGACGCTTCAGCTACTCTGTATCTTTCTTGATGGTTCTTCGTCGGGGTGCGCAGCTGCATGGAAGATACCGGCCAGTAGTTACCCGACGATGGCACATCAACAGAATGTTAAGCCCTTGCAGTCGGAATAAAAGCAGCAAAACGAGCAAGGCCGTAACATTGTACAGGACGGTGTCGGCATGATCGGTGCCCACTGGCCATGCCTCGTTCATCTGCAGGAAGTTCAGTGCGTCGTCACAGCTCAAAACGGGGCAAATTCCACCAGATGCGGCAACATCGTGAGAGGTGCAGCAGAAATCACAAGGTGACAAGGCACATCTCTCCCCTGTTTCCTGTCGCCATACGAGCGGATCACATGCCTCCTTGGCCTGACACGAAAATTCATTTGTCACGGTTGCCTGAACCGCGTATCGTGCCACCATGAGGTAGCTGAGCGCGTTGAAGGGCTGAGGCAAGTCATGCACCTCCAGGTCAAGACATGTCAAACTCCACAAGCACAGGTACTAGAATCATCTAGAATCTGCTGAGAGGCCAAGACAACGTGGACAGTTAAAGCAACAGGCAAGGGTCAAGCATAAAGCAATGCGTTGACATGAGCCCTGCCAAGGCCTTGACGAATATCCCAGACAGCAGCATCTGTGGCATCACGAGACCAGGAGCTATGGAAAGTGCCAAGCTGACAGTTGGAACTGCAGCTGACACCATGAATCCCACTGCCGAACCGCAGTTGGACACGACGCAAAGGATGACGTAGAAGAGAAAGATGCGATCCACTGATTCAGCGTTCAGACCGATCATCGGATAGGCAATGGCGACCACAAATATGGGAAAGACACATTGCATCAACGTGTCAAGCAATGTCTTTGCGAGGTAGAAGGCTGCAGGATGATACAAACCATCTTGGGTTTCACGTAAGAACACCGCCCGTTCGGCAGGAAAGGCATTCACCACACCCAGCATTGCAAACAAGAACTGTGTGAAGACAACGAGGAAGCTTGCGAACATCCGAGCTTGAACACCAGAAATGTTATGTCCAAGCTGCAGAAAGATGAGCCCGACAAGAATCGACGCTCCCACAGTCTGCACTGTCCGAACAATTGTGAGGACCTTGCTGCGCCGTAGGTTCACCAACTCTCTGCTGAGAAGAATTCTCAGCTGCTGCCACAAGGCTGCCCTGGAAGATCTTTGTGAGCTTAACGAGCTTAACGGTTGGAATTCGACATGTGCAGCTGATGAAGAACCCGCACCTGGTGTCAAGGTACGCAGCTGGTGAAGCCTCTTCCGCTGCTCCTGCTGTTCCTCTGCTGAGCCTGGCCTCTCCAACACATCAAGTAGCAGCTCAGGCAGAGGTATGCCATCTGGACATTGGAAGCCCAATCCAGACATCGAGTTGCGCAGGCCCGCAATCGGGCCGTAATAAACAACTTGTCCAGCAAGAAGAAGCAGCACCTTGTCAAAGCGATTGAAAACTGCTTCAGAGGGCTGGTGGATGGTGGCGATGGCAGTGCATCCATCGAGTGCCACCTCCTTCACGTCCTGGACGAGGGAGTCAGACATCTTGCTGTCGAGTCCACTTGTAGGCTCATCCAGAAGAAGAAGCGCCGGCTTTCCGAGAAGTGACAGGGCCACATTAGTGCGCTTCCTCTCTCCCCCAGAGATGCCTCGCACAAGGCCAGGAGATCCCACTGGGGTGTTTGCACATTTCTGGAGGTTCAGCTTCCGGATCACGTCTTCAACTGCAGATCTCCGATCTTCTGGAGATAGCTGGGAGAGAACCAACCCAGCCGCAAAGGTGAGATTCTCCCGTGGAGTGAGAGTCTCGTACATGATGTCCTCCTGCGTGACATAGCCTATGAAATTGCGAACCTGTTTGAAGGACTTGCCGTTGTAGTTGATGTTTCCACGAATGCTTCCGGCACAGCGTCCGACCAAGCAGTTCAACAGGGTAGTCTTGCCTGCTCCAGATGGACCCATTAGTGCCACCATCTCGCCAGCATGCACCGAACAAGCCACATGCTGAAGCAGAGTACGTGACGGCAGTGCCGTGACGCTCAAATTGTCCACGGATACATGCATATCGAGATCTATCGAGTACCTGTTTAGCCCCCAGCTACTCTTAAGTCATGGCTATGCTTGCTGAAACCACCTCGAAACGACACAAGGGCCAAACAGGTACCAGGCCACTACCGGACGGGAAAGATCCAACGGATCCTGTGGCAGTCCACTGGCTACTCTGCGCTACGATCTCGCAGCCAAATGCGGAATGTTCTAAGCATCACAGTGACGTGATGCAACACTTCACAAGAAGACCATACCTTCCTGCATTGATGAATGCCGCGCCACTCTCACGCAAGGACCCGCTGAGGCCAACGACGCTGCGGCAGCGATCAAGGCGCGGACTTGGCAGCGCAGGGAGTCTGAGAAAAGTCTCATGGGACTCATGGGCTGCACTTCTACGTCGCGTCTGCGACGAGCGAAGAGATGAGAAGAACCAACTCAGGAGCCCTGAGCTGAGAGCACCTCCTCATCATCCGCAAGGCGGCCCTCCTCAACAACGCAACCACGATCTGGCGCACGTGAGTCATCTATTTGCACAGGTACCTCACTCTTTCTTCGCCGCTCCTTGCGACGATTGACAGCTGCCTGCCACAAATGGTCGTTGTTCGTGAACCTGGGCCAGGCACAAGCTCATAAACCGGTAGACAACTGCCGGAACACAGAAGTCGGGCAAGCACAGGCACAAACAGAACGTCAAGCAAGGCCCGTCACCGGCGTTGCCTTTTTCATCCCAGGCAAGATCAGGCTGCGCAGCTGGCATGCAAACTATCCGGCAAGGGGCTTCAAACTTCCCTGCCAAGCGGCCCAAGCAGCCATGATAGTTGCCATATGGGTATTCCCCCAAATAGGGGTACCCTTCATGTACCCCCAAAAGAATAATTAGAATCCTTCTTTAAAGGAACCCCCCAGAAGGGTACCCCTTTCTTCGGAAACCCCCATATGTTGCCATGGTCTTCTTCGGGACCTGACCCTTCCCCGGCAGCAGGTAGACGAATGGCCAACGTCTTTAAACCACCAGGTCAACCAGGGACGCAGAAGCGGCTGGCAAGTTCCTCAAGCGAGAGGCTTGCAGGGGTGAAGAAGTCCAATGAAACACGTTCACTCCTCTTCCATCACCTTCAAAAAACAACAATGACACTGCTCAGCTGAGGTGCGCATTCCATACGCCAGCAACACCTGAAACGAAGACATCAAATAGCAGCCAAAACTCCAAAACTTCGCAAATTCGTGGCTGACATTTCAGGTCGGCTGGCCAGGTTGCGAGCCTCTATTCAAAGTGCGCAACTTTCTCTGCTCCAGGGCTGCACTGGACGTCTTTGGCATCTTATAATGGTCACCTGTGTCCTGACGCCCAGCACTGCTCAAAGTCGCAAGTGCCCCCAGCCCATCGACAACAACTGGCGATCAGTCTCCAGTCTCCAACACAGCAAGGCCAAGGCCGCCTTGGCGATGCGCTCGTACCAGCGGCTCGGATATCCGACCTCCTCAACCTGCACGAAGCAAAACGAAACTCCAACACATCGTCATGCGTTTCCCTCCGCATCGCCTTGGGTACAACACCTCCCTGGCTTCCTCCATGATCGGGCGCTTGTGGCCCCAGAGAGGAAATATGGAAGCCATCCCGGAAGGTCACCTTTGGCTCAAAGGACACATCTTGTCAATTCAGACCAGGGATGCAAGATGTCAAGTCTTCAGCCGGTCTAAGTGGACGACCATCAGTTGGCCAAATAGCGCCCATTCGTCCTGCACGACCTTGTCGGCCCTGGCGTTGTCCATGCCACTCCTTGGGTGCATCATTTTGACATGAAGAAAATCGACGCCCATGGCTTCAAGCTTCTAGCAAAGGTCCCGCATGTCTGACGCAGGCTGGGCGCAAGTATGCCGACGCAGCTGCGGGGTCCTTGCGGTACTTCTCGATTGCAACCAGTTCCTCTGCATGGCCGTCGAAGTGGGCTGACAAGACAGCCCCCCAAACCAGGATGGCGCGCCTCTACCTCCAGCGCACGGGCGAAGCGCTCCTCCGCCCGGTGGGCTTCCTGTATGACGCCCTCTGCCGCGAACCACCTGTGACCCGTGTGGAGTCGATGTCGGCTCACTGACAGTTTGGTGCCACCGCGGTTGTCACGTGATGCTTAAGATCTTCTGCTTCGGTGTTTCAAGTCGGTCGTTCAACCATGCTTGTGACTCTGCCTTGTAGGTAAGAAAGTTGTCAACTAATAATTCACAAAGTGTGCAGAATCCTAGCCGACAAGTGGCCGCACAGATCCGCACAGTGTGGCAATGGCAAGGTATACCCCAAGCTTTCAATCCTAATCCGGACCCCGATGAGTACAAACCCAAACGCAAATACGGTTCTGCATTACGCGAGCAACGCGCATCAAGGCCCGCACGGGGCCGTCGCATCATTCCAACACCGAACGGAAAACACGGACGGCCCCGTCCACGGGCCCATGCTGCAAAATTTCGACGGAGGAAGACTTTTTTGGCTTAAGGTGACTCGTTTTTCCTTGTTAGACATTGTCTCGCTCAAACAGGGCGTTTTAAAGGTTTGGCTCCGGGCCCTTGATCCTCATGTTTTTGCTAGAGGAGCAGCCCAGCCCCCTCCCCCCACCTCTTTGTTTTGAGGTGTTTGGCTCAGGTCGCCTGCTCCGTTTGTTTTCCGGTCCGAAGCACACTTACTTTGGTTTGTGCAACAAGATTTGTTTCAATGATTCGCGCAGACATTGGTATGAATGATTCGTAGTAACAATAGTAGAAACTACCATGATGTTCTTGCACGCTCGTTGCAGGTCTTGAGAATCGGGGCACGGCCGCCCCTCTACAAAAAGGTTTTGGGAAGCATTGGGGACGATGGCCATCTGCCTAGCCACACCTTCAAAAATATTCCCCGGACACGATTTCGACCGTAAATCCGCCGAGGCCTCGGGCCGAAGGTGTATTGGTAGTCAGAACAGGCACCCCCCTCCAAATCCTCCCCCCAGGCCCAAAGCCCTTTTTCGGACCCCTTTTTTTGCCTCAAATGGGTACCCCCCCTAGGTGAGCAGGGTCCGCAAGCGGATGATTCGCCAGGACCAGAGGCAGTTGCAGCCCTTCCCAGCAGGGCCCCCCCTTTTTCACTGCCCAGACCACCCATCCCCCCCCCCCCCCCCCCCCCCCCCCCCCCCCCCCCCCCCCCCCCCCCCCCCCCCCCCCCCCCCCCCCCCCCCCCCCCCCCCCCCCCAACCCCCCACGTAGTCCCTCCCCCAAAAGCCACATGAGCGGCTGGGCTCGAGGTGCTAATGGACGCAACAAGAGGGGCTTGATGTTTGTAGGTGTCGCTATAGCACACCCAATGGTTCATAACCTAGGGGTGTCGCTTTTCAAGTGTTCCCATCGTTTTAGAGGGTTTTCTCCTTGCTTAATTGAATGGCTGGGGGTTTTGGCATAAGGTGTTTGTGAAAGGCGGAGTTTTCCTGCTCCGACGCGCTGGCTTGAGGGCCGGAGGCTCACTGGTGTGAGCACGGCCGCAAATGTGCCGAGGCCCTCGCCCCACACTCAAAGCCACTTTTCGGACCCCTTTTTTGCCTCAAATGGGTACCCCCCCTGGGAAACCGGGGTCCGCAAGCGGACGGTTCGCCAGCCAGGACCAGAGGCCCTTTCCCCCACCCCCACCCCCCCCACCCCCCCCACCCCCCCCCCCCCCCCACCCTACCCCCCCCCCCCCCCCACCCCCCCCCCCCCCCCCCCCCCACCCCCCCCCCACCTCGCCCCCCGGTTTTCGAGGCTCAACTCCGGGGACGAAGAGTAACCGAAACCCGAAACCTTCAATCTTAGCTCCCCCCCCCCTTTCCCCTCTGCCCCCCTTCCCCCTCCACCCCTACCCCCCCTGAGGGGCCTGGCTCAACCCTACGATCAATCCAAGCCGAACCGTCTCTTGAACCCTAAACCCAAAAAAACCCTAAACCCCAAAGCAAGAACCTTGAGCCCTAAGCCCTCAATCCTAAACTAACCCTCAACCCTAAACCCCAGACCATAAACCATAAACCCGGAACCCTAAACCCGACTTGGGCGCTGCGGAATCACCATGCTCACGCGGATGCGCTGGGCCGGGCCGAGGCGGGTCGCGTAGCGTTAAAATTACGTAAAACACGAAACCGGCCTTGGACTATCTTGGACTTTTGGGTCTAAGCCAACCCTCAGGATCCCCCAGCATCGGCTGCGTGGGAGGTAACTCCATGCCATGTCTCCACTCCAGCAAGCTGCAACGCAAGCTGCACCCCTTTGCCTGGGGTACAGGAAGTTTGCCACAGTGTTGAATGCCCAGAAGGCTGAATCTTTGGAGAAAGTCAAAGCATCTCCATTTCCGTCGGCATAGCTGCGAGGAACGCTTGTAGCGCCTCCTGACATTTTGTCTTTCTACGTTACAACTATAGGCAAACATGTCAGCACACCACACTGCCAGCCAAGGCACCATGAAAAGGTGCATGTACAGAAAATGTCGCATCATCCACTCCAAACCAAAGCAGCCCACCGATGGCTGGCGGCATCCATGATCGAAGCTGGGCGATGAAGTTCCATCCGGCCTTGCAGGAATGGCGGCGCGACTGAGAGTCTTTCTCAGAAAACCTGTCATGATATTATGGTCGTGCAAGATCTGTTTCTTATCGCCTGGGGGGTGCCAACGCTGCGCTCGTGGACATAGGTGTCGTCTCCGACATGCCATTCGAGAGGCCTGACCCTGAAAGGAGAACCGGAGGATCCTGCGAAGGAAATGACAAATTCGATTCCGGGGATCTTGCATCAGACCCACGCCAAGCTCAAGCGTCCTGCGCCCACGTCACTTCGCGAGTCCAGTGCCATTCCTTCCTGAGCAACGATGCATGCTGCCCTCATCCCACAAGGTGCTGCAGTTACCTCATGCAAGGGTATCCAAGGGGCATAGTGATTCCGCATGTAAGACATCAAGTCAAGCGCGGAGATCTTGACGCCAGCTTCGATGGAAAGTGGCATGCGGGCCGCAGCTGAAACATTGTGGCCGAGGACGTAGTTCTCATACGTCTTCTCAAAACTTCGGTCCGCAGCGACCCTGGACAAAAAGGACCACACTCTGGCATCGCTCAGGCGTGCTCCAGTGAAAGTGATGGGGTCATAAGCGTCCGCGAAGCTGAATTCCTCCTTCTTGCGGCTACCATCCCACAAGCCAATCTTCTCAGCAAAGCTAATAACCTTGGAGAACGACGAGGTGGCATGGGGTGACCCTTTTTTCACATGCTGCCTCGCTGGTATACTAATTTCCCTTGTTCCCCCTACCGGCCCTACCGCCCACCGCCCGCCCCCCTCCCCAACATTCCGGAACACCCTGGCTGAACTCGGAACTGACACGCTGAAGACTTCTTCGGCCCCAGACACGCCTTGGGCCGCGGACCCGATGCAGCCGAGAGATGCCCAAACACGTGCGATCTTGAATAGAAAGAAACATTAGTTTTTTGGGCGCGTCATGTTGCACTTCCAGTGACGGGCGGGATGTGTGTCGGCACTGTGGGAGACTGCATGAGAGTGAGACTCCACGAGCAAAAAAGCGCAAACCTCCGATGGCATGATCGATTGACAATGTTTTTCCATTTTATCACGCGACTGGCTTGAGGCTTGGACAACAGACAGTGCGATGAACGAGGCTGATCATGAAATGGACATGAGGAGCCCTCACACCACAGACCACCCTGTAGCACGACTGAGCGCCGTGCATCGTCCGAATAGACGCATGCTGAAGAGTCATGCAACGGAAATGTCTGAATCCGCGCTTGGTTGGCATGACCGCTGACATGCCCTTCTGGAATCCGAACTGCGACCCATACGGCTCCCTTCTCAAACTTGCCTTTGCCAATCATCTCAAGGACCCATACCTGCACAACATGCGAACAGCGGATGATGCCCCTCAGCATTGCAACAGTTACATGCCAGCGTGATCTTCAGGTTGCATGCCTCACTTGGATCTGCGATGGTGAAAGACTCCCCCTCTGAAACATACCCATACTGGCTCACCAGCTGGTCGAACATCAAGATGGCTTCGCGGGCAGTCTTGCTGCGCTGCAGCGTCACCCAAATCAAATTCCCATAATCCAGCACACCGTCACCTCCACTCAGCGTTTCCTCAGATCTTTGACTTCCATTACACGATGATGCCGGGGGACAACAAAAAAGTGTCAGCCCAAGGCCGAAGAGCCACATTCCCACCAAACGTGGTCTCACCAATGGCCAAGCCATGCTCGTTGAGATTCCCGACTACCTTGGAAGCTGAAAAGCGCAGAGTCCCTGTTGTTCAGGGCTTTGGCTTCTCTAGTCCTTGCTCCTGGCCCTGCATTACAACGACTTGCACGGAACGGAACGTGAGTCAGCGGACCCTGAAGATCAGCAAGGTGGCATTATATGTATAAGGAGCCTCATCAATCTCCCCCAAATACTTTCCGGAATCCCAATCCCAGATCTGCCGCTTCTCGCCGGGCTGGTGGTGTGCGGCCGGGAGGTGTCCTAGAGTGCCGTACCTTGACAAGTTTTCAGGTGGTCAAAATTCGCCGACGCCACAGAATGATGAGAATTTTAGTTGTGTCACACGCTTCCAGAATCAGCTGTGTAGGAGAATAGTGTCGAACCATCTGCAGACCTAAGTGTGCTGAGGCAGGTACCGTAGCCCTGCTATGCTACTGCTGCTGTAGTAAGACGAACACCTGACTCAGTAGCCGACGCCTCCTTAGACACGATCAGGTTGGTGCAGCTGTGAACGCACCTTTCTGCGCCCGGAGTTGGAGGCAGTTCTGTGTGAGCTTTGTGTGCTGTTCTGCCAGACCCGCCTGAGCAGACCCAAAAGTCCCAGCGCTGCAAGCAAGGAGCCGCTGCTCATGTCTAACAGTTGGAAGATCAAGACAAGTGAGCAGAATGGCTCTGAGCGTCGGGATTGCCAAGGCAATTAACTACCCGCTTGACACACTGCCGCATGGAGGTCACGAATAACAGGGACATACATGGGGCTTTTTAGGGCCTCCTGCCCTCCCCAGCACTCCCGACAGCTTTCCCGCTGGGGTGACCGGCCAGGTGCAGGTCGATCCATCTGGCTGCTTTGTCGTGCCGGACTCCAACTGAGGCTTCACCTACCCGAGGCCACGAAAGGCAAGGTAACGGGTTTGCAGCTCCCAAACAAGCCAGGCAGACTTCCCACATGCATACGGAGAGGCACTTCCTGAAGGCCATCAAAAGAACCCCAAGACCAACCCAGAAGCAGAAAAGAGCACCGCAGGACCATGCCGCGATTCGAGAAGGTCGAGAATGTTAGGATAATTATTGGTGTTTTCACAAATCGGTCAAACTGGGCTGAACAGGCTGCAGCTGGCTCAAGGTGAACACTCCAAGCAGATACACACGACCTTGCTCACAGGCGGGATGATGCGGGATGGGTAAAGTTTACAGCACCAAGCACCAATGTGATATGCCTGCCACCTTCCGTTTCTTGTGTTGTCCAGAAAGACACACCGCTCCCTGGCTTCTGTGCTGGCACCGGAAATCGTCGGTCTGGATTTGAGCTCCAGTTCAAGCGATTCCCCGCAGCGTGACAGGCAGGTCAAATGAAGGCATGAACGAAGTGAATGCGCACTTTTCCTGGAAGCTTTTCACTTCTCCATCTTACCACGGGGTTCTTTTGGGTGGTTACAGTGAAGATTTCACCCTTCGAGGTCATTTGCTGTCCACGCCATCGAGAACAATTTGCTCCCAACTGCTTGGCTCTGATTCAACTCACAGCGGTCCCGTCACAGGCCCCGTGCAACCCCCGAGCCTCCCGAACACCATCATCACGACCCATGCCACAAGATGGACATGGTATGGTTGGCGCTGCCAAACAACAGCCTGCTTCCCAAACGATGCTTTGATTGCGGATCGGCGAGAGATGTGGAAATAAAGGGCGAAGACGGAGACTGCGAAGAGCATCTCGCTGAAGGCTCGATGATAGTCTTCATGCTGCCATGCCGAACTCGGAACAAGCAGCACGCTGAGCCCGCGTGCACAGCATGCTTGACGCTCACAGCAGACTTCCCATTCTCATACGAGATGAACCTTTGCAAGGCTTCTCTTGGCAAGCTTGTTCGCCACGGGAAGCTGCATTTAAGACCGCAACCAGCCACCCAAGCGCAACCTGAAAGCTGCACAACAATCCGACCTTGTGTCACAATGCGGCATACACACGTCCAGTGTTTGCTAGGGTGCAGGCTGCCACTGAAAAAAGGCACGTCCTCGCCATTTCAGCTTGTGGCGTTCAATCAGTGAACCACGGCAGTTCTCAACATTTCTCAACACTCCGGTGTGCTGCGGCGGCCTCGCTCCAGCAAGGCCAATCCAATAAATTCTCCGCCCTATGTTGAAAACGGAGCCCCGGCATCACATCACATCCACAGAGTCGCAGTCCTGCTGCTGGATTTCGCGGCACGAGCCCCATGTTCTGGCGAAAAACGCGAACCTAGCAGCACCAAATGCGCAACTTGATCCTGCAAGCCAGCTCCCGGTGCCCACTCGAAACACGCGTTCGAAATCCAATGTGAGCGTTCGGCACTTTGGAGAACATCTGTCGAGTGAGTTGCTTCCGGGACACCCTCGACCTCGGTGCTCGACTGGGCGCATGACTGTCAAGATGTTGGTGGTCGTGCCAAAGAGTTTCTAAGGAACGTGCATTGCAAAATGTGTACCTGAAATCGAGCAAAATTGGCGAACATCTTCCGCAGTGCCCGCGATGCGAATGATCTATCTGAGTCTGTGACATGGTGCAACCTGCGAAGCATGAGTCCGATCGAGGTCCCCTACAGTGCTGTACTAGATTACTAGACTCAACGCGTATGACATCTCACGCTCTTCAAGTTGCTGCGGCAACTGGCCTCGCGCAGTCAAGGCTGAAAAAAAGTGCGGAGCAGCCGTCGGGAGACACAGCCTAGGTCAAGCAGAGCCAAGCAAGCAGCAACCATCATCGCCACATCCTACTGGCAGCAGTACGGAGGACGCTCGGCTTTTTGGCGGACTTCCTGTGAAGTCGGGACAAAACAAACCATACGGGCAGGATGGGCAAAGGACCAGCCGCAGCAGCAGCATGCCCACCTTCCCCTCGGCACAGCTCGGCAAGCCGAGTTCCAAGCTCTGAGAATCTCATCTGAGCGATTCCGGCCAAGCAATGGCAGCCTCTATGGCAGCCGACGGGTCTTTCACCCATTGCCGGCCTGTCGTCTCTTGGACTTGAGACAATTTGGCCCCCAGCGCCCAGCGGCGACTTGCGGCTGGGGTGCCTGGGGTATCCTTCGTTGAAACGTAACGAAGCGCGAGCCCGAGAGCTCTGACAATTTCAAGCATGTTCCGCTTGGCGCTTCTCCGCAGATGGTTATACGATGTCTATATGACGATCTGGCAATCGTGCCATGCGAGCTGCTGAGGTTTCTGTTGACAGCTTGCAGGTCTCATGAGCACATGTTATGCCAATCCTTCCTTCACTTCGACTTAACATGACTTAATCATATTTAATCTTTCGGGCATGGCTCACAGCTCGCTCTTATGGCAAAGGCTCGGAGCAAAGTCGCTGAGTTGGCGCAGACTGATCGAAGAATGGCAGCCTCTCCCCGGCAGGTGTCAGGGTGAGGCGTTCAGCAGTCAGTTCAAACAATTCAGCGAACTCGCCCTCATGTAAACACGCTTCATCTAAAGGAAATGAGAGTGTTCAAAAGCAGCTGAAAGGGCGGGAGTTCCAGAGAGTGGCTCTTCGCGCGACACTGTCAGATTGAAAAAGACTACTCCAAGCACCTTTTCATGAGCGGGATTGGACTGTCCTCAACTCCCCCAGATAGAATTTCGGCTGACGCTCTCTCGCGCAAGCCGATCATACTACAAGTACAAATCAGCACAAATGCCGGCTACAGTATACATTGCATCCTGAAGAACAACTTGGAAGGGAGTCAAAATGAAGACCTACATCACTGTTCAATGCAACGCCCGTTTGCAGAGGTGATGTTTGCTTTCATGCACTTTGTCTTGCTGGCCAAACAGCCTGCTGATCCCAAAGCACATCAGCTCTGCATCCAGGCCAGATTAAAAGATCATCGGAAAAATGAGCACGACCTGTCACCTCACAAGAGATGTAGAGGTCGAAGCGTGGCTCAATATGGCTCACCTGGCACCAATACACAACCGGGAACTTCTCAAACTAGGAGGGGTGGGGAGTGGGGGCCCTCCCTCCGATGCCCCCAGCAAATAGTACTTAGTACAAGCCTTCTTTGGAAGACCAAGCAAAAGAGAGTCCCCCCCCCCCTATCAAACCAAAGCTCCCAGAGCGCTTCGGGCCTGGAGCCGAGATACACGGGTCGCTTGCCTCGCAGCTGCGGGGATCCACTGTTGCTTCTTAAGGGAGGCTTAGGGTGTTGGGGTTTTGGGCATAGATCCCGGGTTTACAAGGATATGACAATGACGGCACAGAAGGACGCATTGGGGGGAACCGGCGCACCTGTGACCACATGCTCCGCAACTGTGTCCTTTCCGCTTGCCTTGTCCTCAGATGCTGCATAGTTGAGACATCATCGCTGTAGCGGCGGCAGGCTCAAGGCAAACGATCCCCGCAGCAAGCTAAGACTGCATGGGCCAAGCTTTTGCACGCAACCTGTGGGGCCCTGAGATTGTGCAGCAAAGCTGCATTGATTTCACGCTCCTGCGAGACTCGCAACTCCTCTTTGGTCTTCGCTGTGGCTTTGAACACCTCCGAAGACACACAACGTCGTCTGCTGATCAGCAAGGCTTCCATCGAGCCTTTTTGGACCAGCCAGCGGCCCTTGTGTCCAGCACATCCTGGCCAGGCCATGCTCGAGAGCTGGAATTTATGCGTTCAAGTGGCTTCGTGCCTAACCGTTAGCTAACCCTGATGCAGAGAGACAGGCATACACTATCAGCTGCATAAGGTCCTGGATCATGAACTGAATCCTCTTGCAATACCTCATGATTTGACGCTGGTGCCAAGCCAACTGGGCCCTAGAAGATTCCACTTTTGTCCGTGTAAATCTGAGCATGCAATTTAGGGACGCATTCTTTCCTTCAGGGGTTTTACGCGTCTTCAGGTCCTGCAGCGAGGCAAATCTGGCATTCAAGAGTTTGCATCGTGGACGTGACAACAAGTTTGGGTGCACAAGCAGTCCTTGAGCCTGTCGCACGCCAATCTAAGAGCAATTCCTCCCGCTGGGAGGCTCTCCATCCTTGCATCCACATGGCCCATACATCCCAAGACCAAGCCAGGCAGAAAAAATGAGTCAAAATAATCCGCCATTTCAGGCCAGGCTCGTGTAACCAGCTGTCAGGAGAAGCTCACAGGCGCACTCAAGAGCATGCTCTTCCTTTCCAAGTCGGGACAGTCTCGCGCAGCACCGACACAGTTAAAAGCAGTTCAGGACTTGCTAAGGCAAACTGAGCCAAGCACTGGCAATGCTTTGTCATCCTGGGATGTTCACTGTGAGCACGTGGATTTGCAGGTCATTGGCCACTTGTCGCTAGAGTCTTTTCCCACGATCTTTCTCCGTTGCTACCTTTCAATGACTGACTTGCGAGCGTGACCCTTCCTGAGTGAGGCAAATGCGAGAAGAACGAGGTTGGCTTTTTTCGACTTCCAAGTCCAATACTCCCGGCGCATTAGAACAACCTCCTCTCCAGAAACGATTGTCTTGAACTTGCGCAGCGTATTTTCATTGATCTCGGGCGTTTCGCGGTTTGCTTTGGGGGTGCCAAGGAACCTCATTCTGTCAAGACTCCAGAACATTCCTTTCTGCCGCCTGGGGCTCCCATAATCCTACATCCTCCAAACCTCAACCCCACCCAGTCTGCCCTGGCCGTGTCTTCTGAAGATTTCTCCAGCTGCAAAGAATGACTTAGACTGACTTACTTGAAAGCACCGGGCGAGATTGGAAAGCTCCGACGCTTAGCTGGCAAAATGCGAACGCGCTTGCTTAGGCGGAATCTAACTCCCAGCTCCAGCCTTTCACCCTGCAAGATGATTCGATCTCTTTCGTCGTTCGAATCGATTCAAGCCATGGCCTCGGCCTCTTGCATCACGGCAGCTTAGCTACAAGCCCCACCGCAGTTTTTCATTCGCAAAAGTGTCTGGTGCAAGCAGATACAAGCAGTGGCCTCCAGAGGATATAAATTCTGGATGGTATAGTTTGGCATAACTTCACTCAAGGTCGAGCAAGCCACACGTTTCATTAGATCTTGTGGGCCAGGCACTGCGGTGCTTCCAACGTGCTGTCAATAACCCGTGAACAGTGCATACACAAAAAACAAAACTTCAACAGCCTAGTCACCCACTTGCTCAACACATCCTCCATGACATGGATACTATGGCATAAACGAAGAACGCAACACGAATATCTGCAAATCATCGCAGATCATCGCTGAAAGCGCACAAGGCAGGTAATTAGCCAGTCGATTGGGCAAGTGAACAGAAGCAGCAACTGCCAAAGCGCAGCGTTTCTACTGACAGTTGGCAACTCTGCGTTCGGAGATCGCCTTCTGCTGTCTAAAGTCTAAAGGCCTGAGAGCTAGGAATAGGGCATGATTCCTGGGCCTTGGTGAGTGATGTTGTGGGCACTGAAAGCTGCACAGCTGCAAAGCACAGGCGCTTAAGCGAGCACTCGCACAAACGCTTAAAGGCACCGACCCGACTGACGCAGCCAAGCTTCTTCAAAGCAAACAAGCTCGCAAATGACAGAGCCAACAACTTTTGTAGAGAGCAGCTGTCGGAGAAACAGGTGACCAACAAACCTAGGTGCGCAAACGGTAGAGCAGTGCCAGCCCATCTGCAGACAGCCTCCCTTTCTCAGCGCCGGACTTCATATTTGCGCACATTCTTTCCTTCTTCTGCTTGAACAGGTATGCCTCTCCAGCAGATGCAGCTCGGCACCAATGATAGCACAGAAGCTGTCGCCAACCCTACTTCACACTGGCCTTCTCCTCGGCATCACAAGTGGTCTTCTCTTCTTCCGTAAGTTCCTGAGAGGCAGCGGGAACTCAAAGATGGACAGGCGGATGAATAGGCGATCCGAGAGTCGGAAGATGCCAGCAGCTCTTCAAACTCATTCTGGCAAATATTGAGCACCAAGCCTTAGAAACTGAGGGCCGCAATGCCATGCCATTGCCTGGCATGGCCATGCCTGGCACTACTTACATGCTCATCGTGCTCATTCTTGCAGCCCGGGTTCTTCGAAAGGTGACTGGCTTCCCACCATCGGGGCTAGGAAAGTCGGGGTAAACCGACTTCAGGCTGAAAACGAGATCAGCATATGTCTCGCCTCAGGTTCACTCTCTCTCTCTGTCTCTGTCTTGCTTTCTTTCGCCGGGCTTCTCTCGCTCTCCCTCTCTCGCTTCATCTCTCTGTCTTGCCTGGCTTTTGCCGCGCAGGGAACCACGCTCCGTCGCAAAATTGAAACGCAAGACGCTCGCGCGCTCTTATTCCCTCCTTTCTGCTCATTTCATGCGGGAGGCAGTAGTGTGGCTCGGTGACAGCTTTCCGGAAGATCAGCTCAATGATAGCTTCCAGCTGCTCTTGCCCTTCTACCTGCAAAACAACAAATCATCTGGGGGCCTAAAGTGCCCAAAGACCCTTCCTGCCTGGACGGCAGCAATTTGTGCAACGATGCTAGAGAGATTCTCCGGGCAAACCTTGTTGAGCAAGCTTTGCACCTTCAGGTCAGAAATTGGCCCTCTTGCGCTCCAGAAGCCATGAGCTCCGAGGGTAGCACCTTCCTCTTCAAGCTCTCAATCTCAGAGTGGGATTGTCCCACGCGGTATGCATTGGCCGACGGGCTCCTGCCAGGCACAGTTTTTTTTTCGAAGAGCCGAGGGGTTGCCCGAGGCTGTTCAGAAAGTAAGCGCAGTCCAAGGCTCGGCAAAGCCTTGGCTGCTGTGTGGCTGAGCAGAGAATCGGGAATTGTAACCCGTGATCTTAAGTTGGGTATAGATGCTTTTACCATGCTGCCATCACGCAAGAGTTGGTGCTTCTGCCAAAAGGCCACAGGAGGGGGCGTCCCTGCCTTCGAGCCGACGCGACTCTTTCTCGGCGAGGATGCTTTCTGCCTGCAGAGGGCCACAGCGGCTATGCAAGGATAGGCAAGGCAGAGCTCTGCAAGGCTGAAGGTGGTTTTGAGTTGCTGAATAAAGCGTTTAACTTCGCAACTCAGCAGAATCTCAGATGCAAGTTGTCCTCGGCTCTCTCGTTGACATTTGCCGCATCAGAGGCTTGTCTGTAGTGCTGGATGGACATGGCTCAGACTGCTGTCGCTTGGGCGAATCCTTGCCGCATTCGTTGCTGCATTCTGGCGCAGATGAGCGATCGAACAGTCGAAATGCAACAGCACAGCCCGGCTGGGTTTAACAGCTTAGCAAGTGTGCACGGTCCATCGCGGGCACTATCATCAGCTTCGTTCTGAGGCCAACCATTTCAGGTGGCACGGTGTCCTGCACGCGCGCGTCCGACCATGCCCTTCAATGCGACATGTCAGCTACATTTCCTCAGTTGCGTCCCATTTCCCACGTCATTGTCCTCAGCTTGCTTCCGGAAGCTGAGGAGCTTTTGCCGTGTTGCCAGCCACGCCTGAAATCAAAGCATATCTACGCACTGCATCGCACTGGCAAATCTTTTTGTCGAGGCGCCTCCTGCTGAGCTCTCTCGGTCTCGTTCTCCTGCTCAGCGGCTGGAGCCTCACAGGTCTCACGGGCATGTGGCCGGTTACCATCTGCATGCCCCGCTCATGATGAGGCATTGATGACACATTCCTACTCGTTGCCGCGCGACAGCCTTGTCCGAGCAAGTCGGCTGGCTTGGCGTTCTGGAAGATTTCTTTAAGGATGCATTGACGAGGACCGTGAAGAGCGGAGATTGCAGCACAGAGTGTTTCACGTCGACCTGCACACGTGTCATGTCTTGTTTCAGCTCCTGCCCCAGCCTAGGACAGGAACATGCAGCAACTGCGAATTGCGCCCGGGCGCCACTTCCAAGTTGAGAGCGCTGAATGTCGAGGTGTCCGAACGCCATCGTGCAGCAAGTTTTGCATGTCGAGCCAAAACCTGGCCAATCACATCACATCACATCCACATCAGCCCTGGGCCCAGAAGCGGCTCACCCCGAACCTGCTGAACCGATGCGGGACCGGTCAGCTGCGGGAAGGCGATCTTTGGCCATCTGACCGACCTGATGTGGCAAAGGGGCGCAAGCGCGGACAATCGGTCGTGACCTAAGTATAATATATATATATATATATGGTCACCCCCCCCCCCTCGACAGACCCCACAAGTGTATTTCCGGTCTGTTCAGGAAGGGGGGGGGAAAGCACTCCAAAATTCCTCGAGTTTCCAAATTCAAAAATTCCAAAAACTCCAACCCAAGTTCCGGATTTTTGGAAACTCGAGCGGGAGCCTCAAAATCCTAAAACCGAGCAAATTCCTCGAGTTTCCAAAATTCCAAAAATCCAAAAAAAAACCCACCCCAAGGTTTGGATTTTTGGAAACTCGAGCGGGAGCCTCAAAATCCAAAAATCGGGCAAATTCCTCGAGTTTCCAAAATTCCAAAAAAACCCACCCCAAGGTTTGGATTTTTGGACACTCGAGCGGGAGCCTCAAAATCCAAAAATCGGGCAAATTCCTCGAGTTTCCAAAATTCCAAAAAACCCACCCCAAGGTTTGGAGTTTTGGAAACTCGAGCGGGAGCCTCAAAATCCAGAAATCGAGCAAATTCCTCGAGTTTCCAAAATTCCAAAATCCAAAAAAACCCACCCCAAGGTTTGGAGTTTTGGAAACTCGAGGAATTTGCTCGATTTTTGGATTTTGAGGCTCCCGCTCGAGTTTCCAAAAATCCGAAACTTGGGTTGGAGTTTTTGGAATTTTGGAAACTCGAGGAATTTCCTCAAAATCAAAAAATCGAGCAAATTCCTCGAGTTTCCAAAATTCCCAACCTTGGGGTGGATTTTTTTGGATTTTGGATTTTTGGAATTTTGGAAACTCGAGGAATTTGCTCGATTTTTGGATTTTGAGGAAATTCCTCGAGTTTCCAAAATTCCAAAATTCCAAAAACTCCAACCCAAGTTCCGGATTTTTGGAAACTCGAGCGGGAGCCTCAAAATCAAAAAATCGAGCAAATTCCTCGAGTTTCCAAAATTCCAAACCTTGGGGTGGGTTTTTTGGATTTTGGAATTTTGGAAACTCGAGGAATTTGCTCGATTTTTGGATTTTGAGGAAATTCCTCGAGTTTCCAAATTCAAAAATTCCAAAAACTCCAACCCAAGTTCCGGATTTTTGGAAACTCGAGCGGGAGCCTCAAAATCAAAAAATCGAGCAAATTCCTCGAGTTTCCAAAATTCCAAACCTTGGGGTGGATTTTTTTGGATTTTGGATTTTTGGAATTTTGGAAACTCGAGGAATTTGCTCGATATTTGGATTTTGAGGAAATTCCTCGAGTTTCCAAAATTCCAAAAACTCCAACCCAAGTTTCGGATTTTTGGAAACTCGAGCGGGAGCCTCAAAATCCAAAAATCGAGCAAATTCCTCGAGTTTCCAAAACTCCAAACCTTGGGGTGGGTTTTTTTGGATTTTGGAATTTTGGAAACTCGAGGAATTTGCTCGATTTCTGGATTTTGAGGCTCCCGCTCGAGTTTCCAAAAATCCAAACCTTCTTGGGCTGGATGTTTGGATGTTTGGATTTTTGGATTTTTAGAAACTGGATTTTTGATAAGAGTTTGTCAGGGGTTCTTTTATGATTCCTTATTATGTTTTAGGCTGCCTATTAAATTTAATAATACTCCTGTTCACTTTAATGGGAGCCCTTATTTAGTTAATACGACTCCTAATCATTTTACTAGCATTCTAAGTGATCTTCAATGGGATTCCTGTATTTGTTTAATGGGGTTCGTATTAGATTTTCAAGGATGCCTATTAAAGGACTTTATTGGGTTTAATATTGATTCCTATTCATTTTAATCAAATGCAAAATAATTGGAATATGATTCTGAGCAATTGTAATAGCATTCTTCTTCCTAGTTAGTTTTAATAAAAGTCTTAGAATTTTAATAAGCTTCATAACAAATGTTATACATATTCCTATTAATTCAATAGGCTTCTTATTCATTTTCATAAGATGTCTTACAATTTCTAATTGGGTTCCTTTTGCTTTGACAAGCTTCCTATTCATTTAAAAAGGCTTCTGATTAATTGGAATAGGCTTCGTATTCATTTAACAGGGTTTCTCATTCATGTTGACAGGATTCCTAATAATGTTCATAGGATTCCTACTAGATTCCACAGTGCTCCGATTATGTTTTTAAATCCTGTTCCCTATTCATTTCAATTGGACTCGGGGGTAATGTTATTGTAACTCTTATTTGTTTTATTAGCAATCCTATTAATTAAATTTTTTAATAGGGTTCATTATAATTCTAACAGTACGACTCTTATTGTTTTAAGTTTTGAAGGGTCCACATTACTTTTTTTATAGACTTTTATTGGCTCCTCTCAATCCTTTAATAGGATTCATCTTCATGTTAAACGGCTTCCTGTTCTCTTAAAAAGAATTCATAGATTCTTTTGTAGGGTTCCTATTAATTTTTAAAGCATTCCTATGAATTCAAAAGGGTTCCTATTCATTTGAATGGCCTTCCTATGGTTCCTCTGAATTTAGGACGCCAAGAAATTTTAATAGGAGCTTCTACGTATTTCAACCAGGTTCAGGGTTCTCATTCATTTTAATGGGGTTCCTATTGATTTAAATAGGATTCCTATTGAACTCATACGAAGCCTATGAATCCTAATAAACTTAATAGGAACCCAAGTAAAACTAAGAGCAATCTTATTAAAATTAATAGAAATCCACGATGTCGAGCAAATTGTTCAGGTCCTTGCAGCATGCGTTCTTCTCACATCTGTCTGCATCTTTCATTGCGAACACAAAACCGTACTAATCGAAAAAATATGCTCTATTGTGTGTTAACGTGTCTGGCTACTGTGTGCAGCTATGCTGTCCGTCGCGCCCTCAGCCCTTTGTTTGCTTCCGGGGTCTGTCGAGGGGGGGGGGGGGGGTGTGAGCTATATATATATATATATGTATATGTGTGTATATGTATATATATATATAATATGCATAAGTCTCACAAGGCCAAGCTCGGTCGGCGGCTTCCGGCAGGCAGTGGCTGCAGGAGCTGCAGCGGTCTGCGCAGTCACAGTCTTGCTTCTTCATGGAAGGCACCAAGATGTACCAAGTAGTGGGGTCACGGGTAGATTTCACTTCAGGCAAGCAGACCCACGTATCGGCTCACGTTTATTGGTACAGCCCAGGTCACTTGGTGCCATTTCCATTTGGCTGAGCCGACTAGACTGTCGTACCCGAAGCACTGATGCAGACCCCCCCGCCCCTGATACCACTTCAGGCACACTCATAGACGCCATCGGGAGAAAATGCAACCCATGAATGGCCCATGCTGCTTTGAGCATTCTGCCGCCCATGTGTGCCACACGCGCAAGCAAAACCGGCTCCCCCCCCCAGTTGTGTGGGCTGGCCTGGCCTCTTCCTGAAGCATGACTTTGGCGCAGAGGAAGAAATGCTGCACAGATCAATCTACGTCTGGGTTCCACCGAGCTCTAAACAATCTCTTATTGAGTGAGCCTGCTCGAACCGTTGACAAGCATCATGCACAAGGCAACAAACTTAACACGCAAGAGCGCGTTGCACATACATGTCGCCCCAAATGATGCAGCTTCCAGCTTGCGACATGCCAAGTCCACAGCAGCTCGTCGCTATCGACGTGCAGCAGCCAATCCGCCCCAAGCCTTCTCCACAAGCCATGACGTGCAGATGACAGCTCACTTGCCTATGATGCCTGTGTTAACTTATGCTTAGTCAACGGCTGCCCCGCACGCCGCAAAGCATGCTCGTTGTTCAGAATCTGTCGGCTCTGCACCTGCCCAAACCCTTCTTGCATCCAGCAAATGTGGCACAGCGCAGCAGTTTGGGGAAGCCTCCATGTCCGCAAAGTGCCCAACGCGTCCTTTGACAAAAAGGGACACTCTCGAAGTAAAGGTATCTTCGCGGCTATTCGAGCCTGGATTACTCCCGCACAATGATATTGTAACTGCCGGGCGCTGGGGCCCATTCGAGGTACTTGCGACTCAAAAGGCACAACCACACTAGATGATCCAAGCGTCGCGCATTCCTTCAAAGGTAGTGCTGCAGCCTGAAGCATCTGAAGCTTGGGCCGCGGCGCCACGAGGGCATGGACGGCCACTGCTCCCGGAGCTGTGCGTCAACTGGGACAATCTCCACGAAACCTGCCTGCACCTGCAAGCTCATCAAGAAACCAGCCAGCTTGACATGAGAGCAATATCACTGGCGCCAGTTCAGGGCTTTTCGCCAGCGAAGGCAGGGAGAGCAAGGTTGTTGCACCCAGCCGCTCTTCTGCAACACTTCCGCCGTCGAATCGCCGGGATCATCAAGGTACAGCCTGGGTAGACCAAGGCCCTGTGTGGTCCCAGAGCCTCTTACATCATCAGTTCATCACATCTCCAAGCATCAGACAGCAAGCGAAAGAAACCCAGCGCTGCGTAGTGGCGAACGAAACTCTCAATGACCTTTGCCAACAGCAGGGACTACCATCTACTAGCTACAAGGCTCAAAGCAACGCAACCTGCTACGCCAAAACCTAATGGTACTGTGCCCAAGAGTTGCGCGTTGGCGCAGTCGCGGATCTGCGAAAACAGGGCGACCTGGACATTTGACTCCATGCAACAGACAGCACCGAGCGATCAGGCGTGATGGAGAATGTCAGGGGATAAGGCAGGTCTGCACGCAGTGATGTTGCGACACTGCATATTCCAAACTCGAAACGTGATCGAGCCAGCTTTCTATGGTTGGGCGGGTGACTGTCACCTGCCACAACAAGCATGCTTCCATGCGGAGTTCCACTATACATACTGCACATACTGGATTATTCTACGCCGCGGGGAGCATGGTGAGCTTTTGTCACCTTTGGCGTCCCTGACTTTCCCGTCGCACTCAGGGAAACACCGTTGAAGCCTCCTTCGCCTGCATCTGGACCGTGCATCCACCACAGAAGCCACTCACGCAAGTTGCGCATTCATAGCTCGCGAAGGATCGCCTACACGAGCCGAAGCAGTGGGCCGTGCTGCACTCATAGCACCCGCTGAAGCAAGCCTTCATTGCGCACTTGGCGTAGCAGCCAGATGGATCAGCGCTGGAGTAACAAGGAGTGCCGCAGGAATCCATCAGTGCACCACTGGATGCACAGCTTCCTGCGAGCGCTGCAAGCGACTTCACGTCATCTGCTTCGCCGTCCGCTGGTGGCGTAGCAATTTCAACTGCTTCAGCCAGGTCGCTGTCCAGACTGTTTGTGTTGGCGTGGAAGTCAAGTTCGGTACTGCAGACTCTGCATTGGGACTGCAAGCAAGACTGGCAGGAAGCACTTCCGTGCTCGCCCTCGCAGGCAGCTGCACAGCAATGGCTGCCGCACTCGAATTCCGACCCTAAGCAGTCGGCACAAACAGCTACCACATCCAGCTTCTGCAAGCAGTCAGAAATGCAGATCACTCTGTCCTTGCTGTCCATACATTGACTGCCACAGGTCTTCAGCGTCTCCTTGTTGTCAGCCAGGCAAGTGGCATCTGCCCACGGCAGTGCTACCAAGTAGGCCCCAATGATGCTTTTGAACATCTTCGATCAGCAAAGGCTTCACACGACAGTGGCTCGACGCTCGATCCCAAAAGCTACGGCTATGGCATTGTCCAGGGGCCCAGTGCCGAGGCCTAGAGTGGCCTTGAGCGTTTGAGCATCCCCGCGTCATGTTTGGCTAAGCGTGCCGCGCGACCGCCCCGTGGCACAAGCTTTCGACTTGAAGCCTCGCGGCCCAAAGGCTGTTGAAAGCTGCAAGAGATCCCGCACATGACGGAAACCTATGAACATTACGAACCTTGGCCCGGTCGTGCCACTTCTGTTTGCCACCACCACCTCGCGGCTGCCGCAAGGATACTTGGCATGGTGGTGGCACGGCGGCACCCGTGGTCCAGGGCCCCTGCAACTGGTCCGGAACTCCTGCCGGGCCTCAGTACTGCTGCTCATCACTGTTGGTTTTGCCCACTGCCTGGATGCGACGACTCCGTGACCGACCTCCCCGCAGAATACAAGGCTGGCGGAAGCCTCCATGCCTTGGCACAGCTTGAGCAGGCCAAACAGAGAAGGTGGGGCAGGCACAAGCTAGCCAAGGATCTGGCCATGAGATCTGTTCGTACACGAGAACTAAACATGGCATGTTTTCATGTGCTGCGATTCTCTGGCATAGCTAATGCAAGGAAGTGGGCTCTAGTCTTTCATGTCATTTGAAACCTTGCTCTGTAAGAATGTGCGCAGACATGCTGCTGCAGCCGACAAAGAAGGCATGCTTCTAAGCCAATTAAGCCAATGCGAAGAACCAACAACCGCGCACCGTGGATCATTTCTCGATGAGAAGCTTCGCGTCTTGCAAGGTGAAGAATGTACTGACTCTCTGGAACATGCCAGGCAGTCAAGTACTGCTTCAGCCTCAGCAGACGCTCATCAGCAGGGATTTGCAGGTCGGCCCATCGCCTGACAGGCAGCCGGATGGAGGCTCGACTCGTGCGATCAGAGAAACGCAGGCCTGTAGTCGTAGAGGAAAGTTTGTTTGTACCTGGTTGGACAAGAGACTTGACAAGCATGCATTGTGGTCAATGTGACGTTCAGCTCGCTAAGACCTGCACAAGACTTCGAGCGGGTCCCATGCGCGCAGCGGGTGACAATAGAAGAGGCCGTACCTCGTCAGAGTCAATGAGGCAGCACTGTCAACAAGACGAACAAACTGAGGCAGAGAGGGCTCAAGTTTCCTACGTGCACCAAGATGCCACACATCCTCCAGGGTCTTTTCGGTCATCCAACTAGGAGCCTGAACAACATCTCGGCGTGCAAAGGTTGCATCGTGATAGTGGAAATAGACCTGGGCTGTTGAGCGCATGCCATCTCTGCAGTTGTCGGCCTTCAATGCTGCAACATCTTCGCAACAGGAAGCATTGCAAGATTTCACGTTTGCCAATCTGAAGGTGCTGTCCTACATGTTGTTCTTTGTGGTCTTGTGTCATCGAAACGAGAGTTATAGGAGGCATTCCTGTCTCCCAATGTGGCTGCGATGGGAGTATTCTAGGAGTATTCAGAAAACGAAGATGTAAACACCTAAAGAACGAACAACCATCAAATGGAGGTCCAAGATGATGCCAAGATCTGCAAAAATAGCCTTAAAACAAGCTTCTCTTCTTCTTCGTCTGCAGAGCCTGTGGACCGCGTTTGCCCGTGACGCCTACGTGCCGGTCACTTCTTCTCTCTTCTCCTCCTCCTCTCCTCTCTCTTCTTCTTGTTCTTCTCCTCCTTCTTGTGCTGGGCATGAAGGAGCCCTGGCGGACCCCTCCGCACGCGAGCTCGCTCTCTCGCTCCTCCTCCTCCTCCTCCTCCTCCTCTTCTTCTTATTCTTCTTCGTCTTCTTCTTCTTCTTCTTCTTCTTCTTCTTCTTCTTCTTCTTCTTCTTCTTCTTCTTCTTCTTCTTCTTCTTCTTCTTCTTCTTCTTGTTCTTGTACCGAAGAGGCCACCCCACCCTCTGCTCTCTCGCTCTTTCTTTCTTTCTGTCTTTCTTTCTTTCTTTCATGGGGCTCGAGGTCAAGCCCCGGGCGAATTCGCCCGCCCCTGTTGTCAGGGCACGTCAGACGGTTGTTGAAGGTTACCGATGGTGGTCACGAGAAACAATACCCCCCCCCCCCTTCAACGCTTGACAGATATGCCCCCTGTATGTATTGTTTTGCCACCCCTCTGCTGTGTGCTGCTTTCGGTGCAGTGCCCCTTGTTCACCTGACGCTCTCTCTCTCTCTCTCTCTCTCTCTCTCTCCTGCACGCATGGCCTCCCCCCGAAAGAGGAGGCCGCCCCCAGGGGCGCGTGATGTCCAAGGTCTGAAATTCCCAACCTGACGCTCTCTCGCTCTCTCTCTTGACTCTCTCACTCACCCACTCACTCTCTCGCTCTACTGCTTTACTTGTAGCAATTTCTTGATGTAGGCGGGTCACCTGAACTAGCGATCATGTGAGGATGGGCACATCCGGATGGGATGTTGCGGCATGCTCTCTGTGGGGTCTTGTTAGGGGAGGAGATGGGGCAATGGTGTACAAGCCAAAATCTTTCAGCTGCGACTGGGTGACCAAATGATACCCGAATCCATCCAGCAACTCCTCGAAGGCAGACAACGAGCAGTGAAGCATGTGTCCAGGACGCCCTTCCGAGACACCTGGACGTGGGCACGAAAGTCGCACAAGACCTTCAAGGGTCTTGCCGTCCAAGGAGGTCTGAAATCAGGAAGCATTGCTTTGTTTGCGCTGGGCTTGCGCCAAGACATGCCAAGACACTCAGCGAGAGCATCGAGTCCCCAATGTTGGGATCAAAAGAGGTCGGCCTGGAGCCGTGTTCGATGTCAGAGCATGATCAGAAAGCTTTGCAGCTCCACACGATTCCCCATGTCCCCCCCCCCCCCTTCCACCACGTTTATTTCAGTTGTGCAACGCAACTCCCTTTGCCTGTAAACAAAAGGTGGAGGGACCAGTGGGTGCACTTCCACATGAATCATCAGTGGTCGGACACCAGCTTGAAGCACGTCTTCGACAAAGCAGCAGTCACAATTGTCCACGTCAACCTCTCGGACGCAACCAAGGTGAGTAGCCCAAAAAAACCGATCAATTCCGTCTATTCGTGCACAGACCTGGCCTTGAGCCATTGTGGTGATGAGTGGTCATGGCGCGCTCGGTAATCCAAGATCCGCTGCGTGGCAATACCAGGATCCACAAAACCGAAATGAAATTCCACGTCCTTGGACTCGGGAGCTGCGCCCACACTTCATGCACCTGTGACTCTTCCACTACCCTGCTGTTGTTCAGCCTGGTGTCTGTGCGATTTCCCACAAGACCGTGCAGATCCTGGACGAGAAAAATAAAGTTCTCCGGCGGCTATGGCAGCGAAAGCACAGGGACAGCAGCCATAGCAGCCTAGCTACTTCGCAGGGGCAGGGGGCATCTCTATTGCAGATATTTGTGCACAAATCTGCTTGCCAGCCCTGGGAAGTTGCATACAACCAGCGGCAATTGGTCATAATGAAGCGGCTCATAGTTGATCTGCCTAGCACCCCTTATTGCGCATGCTCAGCTGCTCTATTGTTTCCTTGCTGATTTTTGGCCTTGGTAATTACTAACATGAGTTACAGACGGGGCAACTGCAGCATGGTCGAAACATCCAATCTACAACATACAAACGCACTGGAAACGGTCATGCTGCAATGATCAGCAACACCGGAGTAGATTCATCCAAAGTCCTCGATGTGCCTGTTGTCACCCTCAAACACCAAGCCTCCATATCCTGAGTTGAGGTGGAACCTGCTACAAGATTGAGCTGCGACTGAGAGTAAGTTCACTGATGAATATGCAGCCAGAGCCGCCATCTCGGAGCAAACAGTTTGCAGGGTCTGCCATGCCAAAGAGTCCACGCGCAAGGTTGTCTTGCCGCACGACATCTTGCACACAGGAGCCGTCTCCAGCACCGAGGTTTACCACCCACTGCTGCCAGTCCTGGGAACTGGTGTCCACCAGGCGCTGACGCTCGTGCTAGACAGCACGGTTTTGCAAAGCACGGTTGTGCAGCAAAGGTTCTAAAGGCTCCACTGGCAACTGGCTGGGGATTGTCGGCTTCTCGAAAGAGTCATACCTCGTGTGCGTTGCTACCTCTCAAAGAGACATGTTGCAGCGGTAGCTAGGTCTGTGCGTGAGAAGGCTCTCGCCACAATCTACACGAGGTTAGGCTCGTCCACGCACATATGCGTGGTGTATAATCACATCGGCAATGGAAGCAATGAAGCCAAGAAGCCACTTCAGCAAGTCTTTGCGGTTACACACATCGAAGCTGTGCGAAACTGGAGATGTCCACCTAAGCCAAGTGTGAAAATGACAAAATGCCTGTTCTGGCACTAAGCACTAAGCCCAAACGAACTGAGCCGCGAACTTCGGAACCCAAAAGGGAACCAAGCCCTTGTTCCCACCGGCATGGTCCCCAAACAGATTTGAAGCTGGTATGATGGCCTGCAAGCAGCTATGACATGATACGAGGATGACTGGGGACATCTTTTTGCGGTGCAATCTGCAATGGAGTGCAACTTCGACTTGATTCACACAGCTGCCCTGAACGGCTCACTCAAGCTGCCTGGCGCCGCAAAATGTCGTGGGCCTTGAACGTGGTCATGTGTTCGGTCTCGTAGCCTTGTCCCATAAGTTTCTACGCTGCGCGACTACTTCGTGGTGCTTCTAAACTTGCATGATACAGCCGCAGCGCAAGGATGATTCAGTCTGCGAAGGTCGTCCTCGCTTGTCAAGATCTCCATTCCAAGCTGCTCTGCTGCCTGCTTCATGTGCGCCTTGCTCCACATTAGCACATAATAACAGTCAACAGAATGCATTAAATTAACGAACCGCATCGAAGGAATCAAAACGACCATAACTATCAGAGCAGGGCGGCATCCAAGCGGAAAACCTTCTTCACCTCCTGCAAGCTGAAAGTTGCACACGGCATCAGCCATCAGCGTCAACTTGACCAATGATCCTGGCCTCTTGGAAAGACCAGCAAACTGGTACCACTGTCGCTGCTTCCTCCAGAAGGCCGCCGGGAAAACAAGACCTGAAGGCTGCGAAGCATTCCTGAGGCGCATCTCTGGGCGCAGGTACGTGCATGCATGCAGCGGAACCTCTCACGCCCCAAAACCAGCCTCCCTACCTCACTGACTGAGATACTACCGCTGCAGCAGAAAGCAAACACACAAATGCTGCAACGCAAAAATAAACCCACGCACACTTGTGCACATCTCCACACCAAGTTTTCGGGTCCTTTCACCTGACAGTCACCTTGTTTTCCTGGCAATTAGAACTTTGCTCTCACTCTGCAACCCTGTGAAGCTGCAAAAGAGGAGTGTTCGAATTTTGAAACAGTGGACAGATTGAAGGAGAAGGGTGTCACAAACTGAAGATGCTCTAACTCACAGGTACGATCAGTTTGGCGTCCCAAGCTGATTTCACAGGAAATTAGTCTTCGTTTGTCAATCCCCTGCCGCCCCTTGCTTCAAAACACACCAGACACCACGCACCGCACACCACACACCACACATCTACGGGGCCTTTCTGACAAACATTGCTGTCGTAATACAGGGCAGCTGCTGGCAACCAGGTTTTGCATACGTACGCTTCAATCATCCTTTATAAAGCTTCAAAACAAAGGACTGCAGCGAGGACAAAAACAGCAGCAACGCGTCACTGGTCTTGCCGGTACAGGGAACTGATATTAACTGATCAGGTCACCCTTCCCCTGTCTTGGAGCTGTTTCGTTGGCACAAGCATCTGTTTGTCGCAGAGTTGTGTGCCGACACACTCTCTCTCACACACACACACTGCTACTCGGTGCAGCTCTGTCTCCAGGTGAGACATCGTCTCATATAGAGTGCCCCATGCCTCCCACCGCTCAGGTGCGTAGTAGCGCGTGGCTGCTCGCCACATGGTCCTGCTCTGGTAGGCCGTCTCCTGATGCTAGGCTTGCTAGAAGTGCACATCCAGGCTACTTGGCTACTCACGCCTGAGCGGAGCTATGTAGAGCCACGACGTCCGTACTTCTGCATGTCTTTGTGTGTCCCTGACCGTGCATCTGTGTTTGTGTCTCCCTGTCCGCACGAGCCTGCGCGTGCCTGTGCGTGGGTGTGTCTGCGTTTCTGTGCGTCTCAATTTTGGTGTGTCTGCGTCTCCTGCGCCTCCTGCGCCTCCTGTGCCTCCTGTGCTTCCTGTGCCTCCTGTGCCTCCTGTGCCTCCTGTGCCTCGTGGGAGTTGTGTGTGTCTGTCTGATCCGTGCGACTTCTGTGCGTCTGTCTGTCGGACCGTCTGGTTCGCTGGCTCGTTCAGACGATGATGATGAGGATGCTGGTAACAATTCAGCCTAGTTGAGTTGCACAAGCGATATTGACGATGTTTTTCTGGCTCAGCTAGATGCATCTGTGTGTGTGTGTGTATGTTTGCTTTTGTTGCTCTGTGTGTTTGTGTGTGCATAGAATTAGCTGTGGCGATGAAGTATGATGAACGCACCCTTTGAACTGCAGTCCTCCAACAACGTTCCATAGCGCTTCCGCGATGCCTCGAGGGAGCAATGCCCGGTATCGTGCGTTGACTGGATTGGGATGTCCAATGTCTCATCCTCGGCTTGTCCCTCAATGCTTAGGCGTTTTCTTCTCCATGTAGGACAGGCCAACACGGATTGTTTTCTGATTTTGGCTCCACATCACACGCACCTACATTCAAGCAGGTCGCGCTAAACGTGTACGGTGGACAGAAAGGTCTGTGCGCAGCGCCGTCAGCTACTGCAGATGCACTGGCCAAGGCGGCGGGAAGCCATGTGTGGATGGACATTCTGCTCCAAGTGACATCTCAACGCTCGAGGCACAAATGAGGGTGCATTGAAACAGGCTAGAAACGAGCAACGAAGTGCCAACAACGATAAAGAATTTACCACTGCAAAAACCAGGAAAGGCATACACCTGCCAACGAGAACCAAACAGCCCCTTCCGCGCCAAAATGTTGATCAGATTTCTGCTCCTCGCCTTTCACCCAATATCATCCAGAACAAGAAGGAAGTATCCGATCAGGTTGGCTGGCAAAGAAGGGTACCTCAATTCTAGTCCTAGCCTGTTTCCAGCTCGGTGCCTGCCTCAAACGAAACAAGTTTCCCACCACAAACAAAGGAAAACCACTTCAGCTCTGAGCAGTGAAATTTACCACCATAGGCACCAGCTATTAGCTTCACAAGTCTTCACGTATTTGCGACCGACCCTGAGCTCGTGCAATTGCTCGGACCAGATGTGCGGATGCGGCGCACAGCACAGTCATCACACGCCCAAGGGCCAAACAAAGATAAGAGCCTCTCATGTCACTCAGGCAGTTCAATGAGGTTTCATGAGGTTCCTTTTTTTGAAGCGCGCAGCGGTCACACAGTAAAGTCCAACAAGCTCGCATAGTCGTATGTGTAGTCCGCATCCTTGGGCTCGCAGATATTTCTTCGCAGATATTCAACAACATGGCACGAAGATTAAACTTGCCAGCGACGACATTCCACCAAGGGGCTGGCACCACTTCTACTTGTTGTGATTGGACTCTGGGCAGGTTGATATATGCATGAGTCCCATATCCAGGCAGGGACACCAAATCAAGCGAACCACCAAGGTATCGGGCATACAAGCGCGACAAAGGAAGACCTCAAGGAATGTTCCCCGCAGTGCGACCCATGTGAACATTGAACATGAGAAAATATGAGAAACAGCATTCATGACAGCATCCTGCCTACCCCGTGGCCAGCAAGCTTTCTGGAGCCACCGTAGCCATCTTTTGCCGTTGTATACAAATATGACCATGCATTCGCCTCGCGTGGAATTCCTCCAGCTTGATCAGCCACGCATATTGTTACGTGATCTTCATCTGCGCATATGATGACTTTGATCGGGAAGTCGGCAGCATGCACATCATGAGCTTTCAGTATGTCGATCGTTGCTCGGCAGCTGTTTTTGAGCAACTCGCCGACAATATATTTTAAAACGTGTGGCATATAGGGAAAGCGCGGAACCTGACCATCATCCACACCCTTGCCACCACACGCCGAATGCGCATGAACAGAAACATGCGGTCTGCTACCCGTACATTCCACACACATCTCCGCCACAGCCTGTCAGGCCGAGATTGCTCTCACCCCAGAAGCAGCGTAGCTAGCATGTCATGGGCATCATGATAAGAAGGCCCTTTTGCTCAATGGCCTTGGCAGCTGCACGGCACACCAGTCCAGTGTCGCATCGAATGTCAATGATTCCATTCCTGACGCCATGTTCCGCTCAAATGCATTAGAACCATCGACATTTAAAAATAGTTATCTCAATTGTCTCGGTGCGGGGTTTCTCCCCGTGCTCCCTGCTTTGCAGTGCACATGCCGTGTATTGAAGATGCGGCCGGGGCATCTTCTGACCTGCGCGACAAGCCAAGTAGTGTCCCAGCAGCACATGACATCCAATGCGATTCAGCAAAAAATCGTCCAAGAATTTCGACCTGAGCCGGGGCGGAATGGAGCACCCCACCTAACCATGTCCGCACGCGCTCAGGCAACACAGAACAAGGCTTTGGGTTTTGGTTGCTTTTGTTCATGATATTTTTTCGAGAGGACATGCCCGAATGTCGCTTATTAACTTATGCTTGGTAACCCAAGGAAACGCCTCGTGAATACACATACTGCACTGAAAGACACTCGAGCGCGTGTGAAGCTCTAGTCTCGAAATGACACATGCACGAGCTTCTGTACGTTTTGCTTCTCTTCATACAGCGATGCCAGGAGCAACCAAAGTTGCCTCAAGAGTCAAGAGGCTCCCTTACATTTTCTTTCTTGTTTATTAACACGCAACGCAACGTTTGAATATGAAATGCGAGCTACTGCTATGCTTGATATTGACACATGCCTGGTTCAAGATTTTTTGATGGAACTGGTCGATGCAAGTCACAACAAAAACGAACAACAGCTGAATAAGTAGGTACTAGTAGCAAAACTCCGCATGGAAAGCTGACGTTGCAGCGCACGCCACACAAATTCATCGGAGATGTCCTCGCCCACATCATTGCGGAGTTGGTGCACCGATTTGGCGAGTTTCTCCACAACCGGCTGCTCCGTCAACAGGGCCTTGCACACGCTCGGTACTGTGACACAGGCTTCGTGTCGACACAATGCAGCCACGTAGCGCTGTGCCAGTTCCATGCGTTGCTTACAGCAGTGCGGCCAGTTACAAAGCACAGATAGGCACAGCAGCACCGTGCGCAGCATTCAGGCTTCAGCGCTTTGTTTGTGCCCCCCTGCCTTGTGCGATGTCTCGGCAAAGTTTTCCGGCGTTGAACTGCGAAACGATTTGAAGGAATCGATGTGGATTTCATGTACGTCGACTAGGTCCGGGATTCTTCGCCATTCCGGCACCTCCCAAGATCTCCCCAGAAAGCACAGAGTCGTTGCACTGGAGTCACGCAAGAGCATGGCACATGTCTTGCGCCTTTTCCAGGGCACGAATACGCTCTGCATAGCGAATTGGCATCTCGGACTGAAGAAAGTTAGCAATCAGCTGCGGGTCCAACGTGGTCGTCAAGTACTCAACGCTCCTGCCACGGCCAAGAAATCTCGGTTCCGTGACAAGAATGCAGCACGGTGCTCCTGGGATGTGGTTCCATGGCGGCAAAAGCTGCGATGTCATCCGAACTTCCGATGTTAACCTCAAAGGTCTGTCACATGCCGTCACTGAAGAACCGCAGTTTCTGCACTGTTTTTCTCATCCCTAATTGTATTGCCCAATGCAGCATTCTCTCAACAGGCCACCATTTGCGATCCCGTGCTTCGGATGCGTACGCCCCACCGGCATAACAATCCCGATGTCCATTGGCAACCAGTCTTCACACAAACTCCCGCGAAGGTCTTCATTTCCAGGTCATTCGTTCGACATTTTACGATGTCAAACAAGACCGGAGCTGCAGCCAGGCCATTCCTGGTAAAGCCCCATGTTGGGACAGCTAGCCGTACTGCCGGACCTAATGGGCCAGATGTCTGCGTCATGAGCGGCCAGTCAACCCTTGATTGCGCACGTGCCAAGCCTTTGATTGGGCAGAATACAGTAGTGGCGGATGTAAACAGCGACCCACTACAGTAAGATTTTAGCTGTTGGTGGACCTGGCTCTCTGCAACCCCCTTTGAGCCGGGCCTAACGCTCTCGTCGGCGGACATGCAAATTGCCCTGCGGCGCTGACTTTATGCGCGTGGCCGTTGGCCCGGAAGGCCGACCATGGCCAAGTTGTCCCGCAGCAGCTGCTGGTGCAAACAACGGCGCCGGGAGTGCTTGCCGGGGACCAGTGCCGCCTGGACCTGGCGATCTACGAGTGCGGCGCCACGAGCTGGGGTGGCACCCTTTGCTGTGTGACGGGGCCTCTTCCGACACGCCGCGCGTCGGAAGAGGTCCGCGCACCCCAAACTGCGCGAGCCCGGCCCCAGCGCTTGAGGTTTTGTTTTGCTTTTGCCCATTCGAGTCAAGCTACGGTCCTGTAAGGACATGGGACAAGTTGCTGGAAAAGCGTTCGCGAACTAAAGGTTTTTCGGTATTTGCATTTCCACTTTGAACATTTCTATTTACTCCACTTTTGTGAGCATCCATCGCTCAACATCACATGCAGCATCAACCTTGCTCACATAGTTTGGGAAGCACTGGGCAACAAACTTTGACAGTCGATCATCCCATTTTGCACGGGGCCGGCCCACAACTCTAGTGGGTCGTGTTGTCGTATTCGCTAACCACCGAGTTCTGGGACCCCATTTGCAAACCAAGCTCGGCCATTGACTTCTCGTCACGGTTGCTGCAAAATTGTACTGCCTTGACCTCAATCGCTGATCCCAGGCAGTGACAGGGTGCTGTTGGAGGGCCGAGGCAACCCTTTGATTCATGCGCGTCATGGTGTCAGACCATGGTTCACCATCCACCCGTCGCCAACCAACAATTGAACGTAGCATACGCCTTTGCAAAACATTGAGGTCATGAAGTTGCTTCTGGGTCAGGGCAGTGTGTGCAAGCTGAACAGCACAGTGGGAGTAATCAAAGCATCGGCCTTCGAACAACACTGTTTTTTTCCTCGCACCTTTTTTCCGCCTGCCTGAGGGTCAAGGTCAAGCCTGATGCCCGAAGGCGGCCCATTTAAGGCGCAGGCAGTGAAACAATCAAATGCGACGACTAATTGCGCGGCTCGTTGCTTTGTAACGAAATGAATGAAATCATCTGTTTGTCGTAACCACCATTTTGAATCAACAGCTGCGGACTTCCAATTTCCCAATTGACGCCAACGACAATACATCATGAGTGCATCTTCCCAATTGCTAGGCTGCCTCCCAGCCTGAACACGTCGGCGGTGCCGTTCCAACACACGAATCACCAATCGATCACGTGGCAAATTTGCAATGTAAGTGGCCAATTTCCAGTAACTTGCCAATGACTGTTCCCTCCAGTTTGTTAACGAGCTATCATGGCAGGCATTCCGAACTTTGTTGTTCCAAGCATGAAGAGTTTCATGCCACGGGTCATCCCATGAAATGTTTCCAGGTGGTCCCACCACTGCACGAAGCAACCTCTTGTACTCAACATCCATCCGGTGCAGGTCGGGTTTGTGAATCGTTCTGTGTCCCGCTGCGAAACAAGCCACTGGCGAAACAACGGCATCAAAGAATTTCAATCGTTTAGACAAGGAAACGTTGCGATCACGTAAAATCCAGCCGTTTGCATAGAAGGATTTTGAAGCTGCAGCAACGTGGTGGGTGACATCTTCATGTTGTTGCGGGGATCCGCCCGCTGACAACATGCCCCCAAGCCATCTGTGAGAAGCACTGCGTGGCAGAACCTGGATTTGATGACCGCTGCTAAAAACAATATGCTGAGGTGGCTGGGCTTCCGTTGTCATGATCACCGTCTTTTCGGCGTTGAAAATGAGGCCAACCTCACCAAGTGCTGCAATGAGTAGATCCAGGGTGTAGTGCGCTTCTTCTTTAGATTTGGTGAAAAGAAGGATATCATCAGCAAATCGCAGGTCCAGAAGTCGTCGCAACCCATCTCCCAAATCAAAACCGGCCGTCCCAACCAAGTTCTTCCATGAGCTCCTTGCCCATTCCAAAACAGCACAGAACAAACGTGGACTAAGAACGCAGCCTTGTCTCACGCCGGCACGAATTTTAAAAGCACGACTGCGATCCGAATCGCCGTGGACTTCGCCCCATTGTTCATGGTAAAGACATTGGAGAAGCCAAATCAAGTGACCAGATATAGCAAAATGTCTTGTACAACAAACGCACATTGGCAATCGGACGAAAATCTCCCAGTACAATGGCTTTCGCCTTTTTTGCGATCATTTTGAATAACGTCTTGTGCCAAGTCGTCGGGCAGGAACCTGTTTCCAGCACATGGTTGAACAGTCGAAGTAGCTGTTGCAACAATTCGTCAGGCGCATACTTCATTAATTCGGCAACAAGTCTGCACGTGGGGCATGTCTGCCAGCCTGCCTCACGCAACAGCGTCCCTGCTTCTACCGCCTCGCGCAGACCCGTGGCGTCTCGGCCCGCTCCCCCTCTCCAGGACCTCCCGGCACCGGGCTGCCAAGTCGGGCGCACGAGCTCGCATGACTGGCAGCGCGTCTGCCCACGCGGCCCAGTACGCGGCCGGGGCTGTGCGTTGCGCGGATTGTAAGCCGAGTCCGCCGAGCACCGCTGGCAGCGTGGCTATGGGCCACGCGTGGGGCGCATCGTCAAGGGGCTCTCCTCCAAGACAAGCCTGCAACGTTTCCCAGATGGCTGCGTCGTGCGCGGCGGCGTACCCTCGGGACTCGGACGGGGGCAGCGTGCGGAGCGCATGGTTGGCACGAGTGGAGGCACACATGGAGAGGAGGAGCCAACTGCACTGCAGGTCGGGCAGTTCCGGCAGCTGCTCGAGGAGCTTGCGTTCCTCCGCTCCGCCGCCCATGCTTGCACGAACTCTGGGTGTCCGATGGGAGTACCCAGGACCACCACTTTCAGGCGGTGGCTTGTCCCCTCGCCACACCGCGGCCCCCAGCTCGGAGATGCCGAGCGTCAGCGTGAACGCCCTTGTTTTGCCGAGGTTAGAAGTGATGCCACAGTGGGTCTCGACGGTTGTCGTCGTGCTGTCCAGGGCCGCCCGCGCAAGCTCTGGGACAGTCACGACATAAAGGTCGTCCAGGCTTGGCCGCGGCTTGGCAGAGCGCCTCGTGTTGTCCCAGCGCGAACAGCGCAGGAGCAAGGGGATCGCCCTGCTCGCAGCCTTCACCTTGCGGCACGGTCCGACACGCCCCCGTGGCGTCCCACCAGCAGTAGCTGGAGGACTGGCCATAAAAAAGCCGCACGAAGGGGAGGAGCTTCGGCGCGACCTCGCGTAGGTTGCTGAAGAAGGCTACGCGAGACATGGAGTCATATGCGCTCCGGCCGTCCAGCGACACGAGGACTGAGCCTGGGCGCAAGGACAAGGCAGGCACGCTGGCGGCGAGAGCGTCCGTCCCCGCCCGGGCTTGCACTGGTATGGGCGAGTAGCATTATCGAAGACCTGCGCCCACTCTTTGGCCAAAGTTCTGGCGACCAGGCGGCGAGAAACGTCGCTCGTGGCTATGCCTCGCACCCCTCCGTCCGGCTTGCGCAACGCGGTGAGGCGCGCCATGGCCAAGCCGGCTACGACATCTGCCGGGACATGAGCTTGGGCGAGGTGCGTGGCCGCTTCGGCCAGCAGTTCCAGCGCCTCCAAGTCCTGCAAAAGCAATTTCAAGTGCTCAGCCCTCATGCCGGATAAGCCAGCCGCCCCACCCCGGCGAGCTTCGCGAAGTGCGCTGGCGACTGCTCGGGTTGAGAGCTGAACGGAGCACTCCGGTTGGTACTGAAGCAGCTCAGCGGGCGTCGCGACCCACGCCTCGGGCGGGCGCTTCGCGGGGTCAGTGAGCGCGTCCCACGTGGCCTCCGTGCCCGGCGCAAGCTCGGCTGCCGTGAGTACCTGTGTCGTGCTCGAAAGAGCTCGCCCTGCCGCACTTTGGCGCATGCCCGCAGGCGTTTGCGCTCGGACGCCTCGGCTGGGTCGAGCTCCGTCGGCGGCTCGCGAGCTCGTGGTCCGGGCCGTGCGGCGGCGAGAAGCTGTCGCCATTCGCCTCGTTGGAACACCGCAGCCCGCGCGAGGAGCGTAGCCCGGCCTTGCGAGCCTTGTTGCTCCGGGCGTGCCAGCAGCATGCGCGGGGCGAGCAGGAACAGTTTCCATGCTCTGGACGCGTGTGCCGCGCGCAGGCGTGTCAGGGCTGACGTCAACGCGTGGCGGACTGCCGCTCGCATGAAGGGGGGCACATCCTGCAGGGTGGGTGCGGGGTTGCGAAGCTCCTCGCAGAGTTCGACTTCGTCAAGGGCTTCCCAGGCTGCATCGCTCGTCAATGCGGCGGGCGGCGGGCATGTGGGGACAGCATCGTCCGAGTCGATGTCTGCAGGACCGGCGTCGCCGTTCTGATGGTCAGCCTGCCGGCGGCGGCGCCATCGTCTCGGTCTAAGGCGTCGGTGGGCGGCGGGGCTGCGCAGGGACTCGAACGTGCCGCGTGTCGTCTGCCAACGCTCGGGCTGCGGCTGCGAACGCGCCGCCACCGTAGGCCTCGAGCAAGGCGGACTG